TTTTATCTTTGGTCGAAGCCGAGGCCGCAGATTATATGCATGAAACATATTTGGCAAAAAAAAAACTGATCTCCTTCGCAGATCCCATTTGTTCAAGATAGGAGATCTCGTAAGACTGCCCGAAACAAGATCACGGTGTCAAATTCAAATGATCATTTGTGATTGTTCGTCCAACTGACGCCGTTTGCTACCAGGTAAGTCTATGACACCATAGAACAAGTTTTTGAAAGTTGTCCATGTGCAGCATCTTCGCCGTTACTTCAAGCGAGATACGGCAACCAATGAAGAAGATGACAGCTCGGAAGAAAACGCTTCAAACTAATATTTATTCTGACATACTATGCGTAATTTCATTTTGTGTGAGGCTGAATGTAAGGCTCACATTTGTGTTTCGTAAATAGAAATATTTAGTTGAATATATGTGGCAATAGTAATTGATGGTTCGTGTGTGTTGTCGCTTGGAACTAAATGTTGGTTAAACATAAACTTCCCTTATACGCTGTTAATAAAGGATTTGGTAAATCTCTTAATACACGTCCACCAAAACATTTGCATACTACTGGACTGGCAAAATAACAAATAAATTACTTGAATAAGATATTTTGTTAGATTTTCTGGTGCTACTTTGGTAGACGGTTGCACGGATTTTTGACGATTTACATTGGCGCAATTGTTGGCGCGGTTTTTACAGTCGTCAGCCATCTTTAAAAATGTTGTTTTTACGTATTCGAAACTTTAAAAAAATAAATATCGTTAAAAATAATGGATTAATTTTTTGTTGAAAACGTTGTTTTTTAAGATGGCTGGCAAATGTAAATAAATACATTTACTAAGAGTATAAAATGCTAAAGTAAGGTTAAATTATTACTTTCATATAATAGAATAAAAACACCGCTATAAAAACATTGCGCCAACATTTAATTGGATTAAAATATTACTTAAATCGAATATCGAATTAAAAACATCATACCAACGTTTAAAAGAATTAAAATATTACTTAAATTCAAATACTTTAAAATAAGTTTTATAGGATTTAATTATTTAACATTAAAACATATGTGGCAATAAATATCTCAGGAATTTTTGAAAACATTGTATTAATTTTTAATAAAAATTGAAGTATATAATTATAAAGTAAAAGAAAGTTATGTACTTACATTTTTTTTAAGTATTTTACCTGTCGTATATTGATATGTACAACAACAACAAAAAAAAATCTTCGTCTGTGATCCACATCTCTCGCACTTCATTGATGAAGCAATTTGCGAGGTTTCCACCAAAAATTTAAAATAAATTTCCTCTGACGCTTGTAACAATTTATAAAATAAATCTTTGAATAGGAAAGTCAGGTTGGCCAAAATAAGGTCTCAAAGGGCAATTTTTTTATTCCGATACCAATAATTCTTGGTAATTACCAATAACAACATTCATCTTCGAAATGGACAGCGCCCACCAGCGGCCGAGCGGTAAAGTCGCTGAACACTGGTAGTTCGGTCCGAGGTTCGAATGCCGCGAACGAGCTGGCTGCATGGGCGTTTTCGTGGTTTTCCCCATGTGTAACGTGTATACGAGCCAGTTCCCCTTAGAAAGTCCTCCACGAAGGCATCCCTCCCCTTAGGCAGATAGCCCTAGTGTGCTTTGCCATAATTAAATACACACGAAACGGACATATCCATTCCATTTAAAATCTGAGGAATTAGAAGAGAGATGAATAATAAAATTTTAAAATGGCGCGGTAATGCACAAATATTCAGTAACCAATCAGGGAGCCGATTACATCACGCATAGAATTAAAATAATTTAAATAATCATTCATAATAAAAATCATTTTTTAATGCAAAATTAAATTGTATTTTAATATTTAACAGCCGTAAATAATGTTTAAAATATTAGATTAAATTTATAGATATTAGTAAAACCAATTACTTATTAAGTAAGGTGACGTCATTGATTACATCATCCACAACATAAAATTATATAAAATATCATTAACAACAAAACTTTTTTTTAAAAATAAAAATGCAAAATTAAATTGATTTTTAATATTTAGAAGCCATAAATAATATTTAAAACACTTAATTTATGCATAATAAAACTCATTATTTTTTAAATAAAATGACAAGTTATTGGTTACCGTAAATAACTTGTCTTGCAATGGGTTTACCATAAGTCGTATTGCTCGCCAAAAAAAATCACCGAAATCCGTGCAACCAAAGTAGCACCAAAGTGCATACCAAAGTAACACCGATTTTCTCAAAGAAAGATTGGAGCAAGGGGAAGAATTAGAATACTTAGCATTAGAGTATTATATGTTAGTGCAAAATAATTTTCTAACTCTCATGCGTGTTTCGTTTTTGGTCGAAATTTAATATGCAACAGAAATTTGATTTAATATTTCATTTCATGACTGCATCTTGTATATGAAATTTGTTGCATCATTTAGTTTCTCCAGCAATTAATAGGATATCTTATCCTGAAACATAATCTATATTTGCATCTTAAATATCAAAAGGAGAAAGTATATCTAGTAAAGGATTGGTTTGAACAAAGTTCTTTATTTCCATCTGTAAATCTATTAGAATCTATCTACCTTCTTGTAGCGTTATCAGTTCGTTGCCTTACAAGGCTGAAAACGTGTGAACATAACATCAGATAAAGTATTTTACGTTTTCCAGCTCATTGACTTGCTAGAAACTTCATACAGACTGCAATATTAAAGACACAACATAGCCACCAGAATATTTAATTAATATTACTGCTAATAGTAGTATATGGGTTTTTGATAATTATCTTTTCGAAATTCTAAAGAACGATTCAGATCCGAATCCATTTCAAGTCTGTATTACCCATCTCTTGAATAATCGCAACATGAATTCCGATTGAAGGACGTCATAAGTTTTTACAGTTATTTTCCTTCATTCTGCAGCTATACAATTCGTTTAATGGAAATGGAAAGTATGGGTTCCAGAAATGGGAGTATGGGTCTATCCAAGTTGATACAGTAAGTTAGAAACTCAACTCAGAGCTTAGGAAACCTTAAGGGTAAAAAGTGACATTTATGCAGATAAGCTGTGTCCTTTTATAGTACCTAGTCTATCAGAAAAAATTCTGAGGGCATGGGGAGTGATTATCAACGTAAGAAAAATGTTGCAAACTCTGAAAACTTGGGAAATTTGTTATACTTTGTACGTGTTGAAGAGCGGCTTTAGTTGACATGTAGAAGCTTTTCTGTTATAAACAAAGTTCCTTGTATTTATGCAAGAGCTTCAAAGAAGAAACAACTTCATTCTTGTATATAGCGTGACAAGGGAACTCATAGTTCTTCCGAGTGCTTTAAGCTGCGTAATCTTTCATTGGAGTATAAGAAAAATTTACTAACGGTATAAGGTATTTTCTCCTTTGTATAAGGTATTCTACGCAATTTACTTCTGCTCCTCCCCCTTCTCAAGGAATGTAGATTCTTGTTAGCTGCTTCTCTTCTTACCACAAAGCTATCAAAAATGTAAATGTTTTGAAATAGGCATAATTAGAATGCCAAGTGAATTGTGACCAAAAATACCAATTAAAGTAAAAAATTCAAAAACATTCGTTTGAAAGGTGACCATCTTCTTGGACTGTGTGATTTATTTCAGTGACTTTGCAAAGCATGTGCAATCCTATTACTTTATTGTATTAGAGATGGTGTTGGATTCTAATATATAAATACACTGGCGCGTGGCTCTCAATTAAAGAATTAAATTAAGAGAATTTACACGTTATGTTGAATTTCTGAAAAACTAATGGATAGATTTTAATAAAGTTTAATGTGACTTATATTTATAACAGAGAAAGAAATATACCAGTTAAAAGTCATTTTAGGTATTCATGATTATCACTAAAGCTCGTAATGCAGGGATGTCCAAAATCCACATCATGATATTGAACTAAAAATTAGTCTAATATGGGGTATGGTTTTCTTTTCATATCCAAATGTATCTGGCAGCCTGACGGCATACCGGGCAGGAGTGTGTTGAGGGGTCTCTGTGACAATCGATCCCAATCCATCAGCATGGCAGTTGTCAATTCTGTGAAGCTTCTCGGAATGGAATGATGAGATGAAATTGCCTCCCAAGAGCATCCCAGATATGCAGTATAAGTTTAAGGTCAGGAGATCTGGCTAACCAATCCATGCATCGAATATCTTCACTTTGCAGGTTATTGTCAACCAACTGATCCCTATTTGTACGAATGCTGTCATCCATTAACAGGAACTCATGACCAATTGCGCTCCTGTAAAGTCGTACATAGGGCTGTATAGGGCCATTCCCACTGGGGTTTTTCTGAGCTAACGGAAACAACTGACGTAGCCGAGTCATCTTCAGACCCAGTTTATTTCCATAAGGCAGCAAGTTGAAAAATCTGAACTGCAGGCATATTGGAGCTAGTCGACACACGGAACTGACTCCGTTAGATCAGACAAACCCCAGTGGTAACGGCCCTTAAGAGTTCCTCTATACATCCCATAGCAGTTAGGGAGCCTTTGTCAAACACATGCGGGTGTGTTGCCGTCCAACATAATTCCTGCCAATTACACCTGTACAGTAATGATCCTTTTCCTGATGAAGGAGGAATGGCATCGTGTTCCAGGCAGTCTCTAGGTACATGTACGCCGAAAATCAGTGTCAGGCTGAATCTCGACTCATCTGTAAAACATACGGTGTTCCACTGATGTCTGATCCATGGCGCTTGTTGTCTGAACGTTGCTGAACGCTTTGTCATGTCTACTGCAATGAGCGGGACGCAACTGGCATACACTCCTATCTCATGAAGCTTTCGGTCAACTGTAGACCATGAAATTCGGGTTCGAGTGGCAGCATTCAGCTTATGTGAGAGCTGTGAAGCTGTAGCAGTCCTGTGTCACCGCGATGGAAGTGCCAAATAACGATCCTCATTCATCGTTGAGGATCTTGGTCGATCTTGTCTAGATCTTCTCCATATGAGTGTCCTAAAAACTCAACAAAATGCCGACAACACTGGACATTACATTGAGCTCTGTAGCCACCTGCACTTGCGATTGGCTTACCGACAATTCTCCATCTCAGTCCATCATCCATACGTTTGTGGCTACTTGTTTTACCTAACACCTTATAAAATTTACCCAACTCTTGCACGAAACACAGCAAATGTCATGAAGGAGTACGAATACACAAATCGCCGAAAAATCCTCATGCGCTTATATCCATCCCCTCCACAATCACAGCTCCGCAGACGAACATGTACACGCTTACGAATTCGACTCTGAATTTCTTTGGAGTCATAGTTATTACCTTTGGTTTGATACTTTTTGAAAAAATAGACATAATTTGCAAATTCTCTTGATTTTGCAGACGGCGTATATGTGTGTGCGTGTGTATATATATATATATATATTGTTACGAAATGTCAAGGCGCAGTGAAATGCCTTCCCCCGAAAAGCAGTTTTAGGCTTGCCATAAAACGGCGATTGAAGGCAGGGTTGCCACATTTGGTGAGAAATTTCTCATTTGGCGACAAAATTGGCGATATACCATGGACGGTTGGAGAACCTTCTGGGACGAATTCTTATCAGTTTAGCCCAGAATGTTCTCGAACACAAGCCGAAAGCTATATAAACCCTGCTGGTTTGCAGTCAGGGAGTGTGCCTCGCATAGGGTGCGAGTTAGTTAGTATCGAGAGGGCGAATGAGTCTGTCTCGTCTAGAGTGCCAATGTCTCATCTAGTTAGTCCGTGCGGAGACGATCGAGTTGACAGCCGGCCAGTGAGTGACGAGTGGGTCGTTGAGTGCATCGTTGAGAGAGCGTGTTGAGCTCCGGGAACGACTGAACCGAATAGTCGGGAGCTGTGCTCTGTGTGTCGAATGCATCATGAGTTGCAGCGTGGAGAGTCTTGAGAGTACGTGGAGTTCCGAGAACTTCAGAGTCGGGAGCTGTACTCTGGTGCTTACCAGTGAAGCTGTCTCCACCGTGATAGCCTGGTAACCTGAAGGCTGTGTCGCTGATCGTGTCAGCGTGTTTATAAGAGTTCATCGACAACTGTAAAACGTGTTTTGGAGCTGTCCTGACAATACTGGCTAATAAAGTGTGTTTCGATACTTCATCAAATGCTGTCGTCATTATTCACTCCTAATCCATACGAACCCCGTACGAACGTGAAGGAAGAAAATAACGTAACAACTCGTGTCAGAAAAGAAAAATGCAACGATATATATATCATATACTTGTATAAACGTGCTCTGTAAGCTTCATTAATTATATGATAATAGTGATTAAAATCAAAACATAAGCTAAGCAAATTCAAATATCATATTTAATTTGGAATACAAACAGTGATAAACAAACATAAAAAGTTTGAGAGCTGTTTCAGAATCTCCAAACAAACCAACACACGTCTAAGGTATAATTCGTAGAAAAAACTCACTTCAAAAACATGAAAGTAAAGCAAATTAAATTTTAAATCGCCCTGCATATGTTCGTCAAGAGGATGGTGTACCAAGAAGCACAGAAGAAAAGCTTCTTTCTGAATCTACAAATGTACAGATAGTATAAGGGTAATGCACAAATGTAAGACATGTAGATAAATGCACAAGTTTAGGGTGTTTCCAAAGTTCTAAGAAATAAGCTTTAGTTCAAATCCTAGAATTTATAGGTATCGCTATTGGCCAGAGGCATGTTTTTATGCAGCTCTCCGTGCAGTATTGTTTAGTTTGATTCAGTTGTATGACTGTTATGGGAGCATTTTTGTAGCATTGTTTTGCAACTACGGAAGGTGCCCCCTTCCCGGAATGACAATGGGAAAACTTCAGAAATTGTTCAATGTCTGCGAGAACTCTTCCCACATTTGAAGAAAGCTTTACGAAGTGTTCGATTTCAGAGTTTAAGCATGCCATGAATGTGGATTGAGGAGATGACGAAATAGTTGTTTGAGGAAGGCTTAAAAAATTAGTTTTTATAAGTGTCGTTTCGTTGGGATTTCCGTTTCAATTAAATGGGAATTTTGTTGAAAAACTGCATTTTTATTTCAATAAAAATTAGCGAAATGAAAAGAATATACATAAATTCTCAGAACTTTGGGAACATCCCTTCTAAATTAATGTTAAATAAGAAAAAGCATAAATTAAATTCATATGTGCATTTATCATTGCAACCTCTACGATCTGAAATACATTTCTCTGTACATCAACCCCCCTAATGAAGATATGCCGGGAGGTGTAAAATCCATTTGGCTTTACCTTTTTGTAATGTTTATGTGTTTGAGGTGTTTTTGTATTTTTATTTTTTGTGTAGATTTTGGTTTTGCACTCCACTGATTTGTATGTAGATTTTTGAATAGTTCTCATATTGTTCTTGTTTTTACATTAGTTGCTTGTATTGCCAATTTTACTGTTTTGGTGCCAAACCATTGTTACAATTGAATATGATGTTTGAATTTACTTAATTTAAGTTTTGATCACACACTCACATAGAGAGAAGGTGAAGAAGAAATTCTTTCTCTCATAAATACTTGCAAATAAGAGAGAGTTAATTCAGCACTTTTAATCAAGCTTTAATTAGAATTGGGGAAATACAGAGGGTGTTCACACATTTTGGTAATGATTTTCATTTTATCTGCAAATTTAAATATTAATTTTAAAATAGAAACGTGACTTGCATCAAATTGGAATAAGGTTTAATTATCTTCTGCAGCTTTAAAAATATTCTTTTCTTTAAAATGTTGCTGTGGATCGAAGGCTGTATTTTTGCACTGTTCGAAGAGAAATACTCTTATTCAGTAACTAAAAGAAGATGTAAAAAGCATGAATTTAATATTTATGTACGTAAAATAAGTGGCATAATTAATATGAAAGGAAAGCTTCAAAGTTTATATCTGACTGGGAAAAAGGCAACAAGCTCTTCTTGGAAATAAAGATGTAATATGATAGTTCAACAAAAGGGCTATCAGATTGGAATATATTAGAGAATAAAATTATAAGGCTTGTTTATATATAAATCTTTGTTTCAAAATCGTTACAAAAATGTGTGAACACCATCTGTAGATAAGAAGCATATGAATGCATTTTGCAGGACACACTTTGAGTTTCTTATATTTTACGTTTCTCTTACAAATAATAGTCGCCATATATCTCAACTTGCAACAAAAATTTTTTCTCTTTCTTATATCTGAAAATTTGTAATGTGCTGAAATTTTATATATTATATATATATATTATATATTATATTATATATATATAAAATATAGCTGAAATATGTAATGTGCTGAAAATTATTATCTTATAGCTGAAAATTTGTAATGTGCGACTTTCTTATACCGAGAAGTCCATTATATCTGACACATTGTGTCTGTTTCATTGTGGGAAAATTATTACAGTCAAAAGTCGTTAATTCAGATGCCCATAATCCGGAATGATCTATAATCCGGACCTCAAAGCTACAAACTTTCTGCGCGTGCGTCGCCTTGGCGCATGCACATAGACGTTTACGCATGCGCGTAAGACATTAACGGCTGCGCAAATGCATGTGCGCATGCGCATAATACATTTACGCATGCACGTTTAATGCATAACGGACGGTATAAGCTAAAATTATCTAATTATCTATTTCAGTTAATGTTGATGATTGCGTTGTTCCTTAATCTTCGAATTCGATGCGTCTTATTATTTTTTGCAGACTGTTAGAACAATTTTATAAAAGTAAGCTTGAACTTTCGATTATGTCAAATAGAATTTCCGATGCTGGAGCTGCTAAATGATCTACAAAGCGAAAGTATGTTTCGATGTCCATCAAACAAAAAGTGGACTTGCTGCAAAAAATGGATAAAGGCATATCCTTTATTTCTCTAACCATTCCAGCTATATTTCAGGGCAGATATTTTTATTTCATTTGGCTTATAATTCCTTACTAAATGTAGTATTTCATCTCGATGTACTCCGTCTTTGATATGATTTAGATCAAATTCCTCGTCATTATAATTCGCTTCCGATAGTGAAGAAAGTGACACGGAAGTTATTGAAAACAAAAAAATTTCAATTGACAAATTAGTCGGTATTCTTGTCACAGCAATACAGCACTTGAAGAGCGGAACTTTGTAACTGAAGAAGAAATTATGTCTGTTTATAGAATTAAAGCGAAAGTATTATCACATAAAAAAGCAACTTAAACGACTTACATTGAAAGAAATGTTTAATAAAGTAAACAAATAAATATTAAGCTTTTTCTTTTTTTTTTTTTTTTTTTTTTTGTAAATTTTGGTACCCTTTAGATCATAATTGCTCTTTATTTCATAAATTACGGTTTCATATTTTTAATTTTATAATTTCTGCATGCCATCTTACCAGATTTAAACTTATGATCTATAATCCGGAATCGCTGAAGTCCCAACGAGTCCGGAGTAACGACTTTTGACTTATATGTTTTATTTATATACAGTGTTAAATGATAAAAACCGCGTCAGAGTTGTTCTAAAATCATCTTATTGTAAATGTATTAGAGAAATAAACAATTCTATATGCAATTAGGCATACGTATTCTGTGAAATTATTAATACTAATAACTGTGATTTTGCATTTTTTACAGAGCTGCTCGTTTATATTTCAAAGCTTTGTCATTTGTAAGGAAATGCCATTATGAAAACTTGTCAGTAGTCGATCTTTTCCGAAATATTGCCAAGAAATATCCACACAAAGTATGCTTCGTTTTCCAAGATGAAGAATGGACTTACCAACAGGTTTGCCGTTTTAAATTTCATTGTAGTGCCACTGAATGTGTGTGATATTTCGCTTAATTTATAAGGTATTTTTCCCTCCTTCCAGCATGCCTTTGTGTTGTAACAGTAACACACTAGGCGCGTACTCGAGAGGTCCAGGTTTGAACCCCGACAAAGGCATTACTCACTTTTCACATCTCCAGATTCAAAATAATCTAATGACTCTAGAAGTTGGATTAGAAGAAATACCATTTTGCTTTTTGTTACATTTTCAAGTGCATGGGAATTACAATAAGTGTAAATGAAGCAGTCTGCGTTATGAAAATTAGCTAACACATATGTTACTGATACGTAAATTAAATAACACATTGTTACTGATACATAAATTAAATAACACATTGTTACTGATACATAAAATTGTTGTTCTAGAGCTCATCCCCTTAGCTTACTTTATTTATTTTTTGAATTCTCATACAAGAATTACCCTGCAAATTTAACTGCAGATTAGAAATTGAAATTGATTAGAAAATTTTAATTAGAAATTGAAATGCTAAGTATTGCTTAAATTCATGATTTATTTAACAAATGATCAAGATCATCTGAAAATTGGATTCTAATTTCATTAATGTTTTCTTTTAGGTAGATGATTTGAGCAATAAAGTTGCTCATTGCTTTCTTTCCCGGGGTTATAAGAAAGGTGATGAAGTGGCACTTTTTTTGGAAAACTGCGTAGAATATATATGTATTTGGCTAGGTTTAGCCAAAATTGGAGTTATCATTTCCTTCATCAATACTAATCTTCGAAAGGATTCTCTGGTCCATTCTATTAATGTGATAGATGCAAAAGCTGTGATATTTGGAAAAAATCTTTCAAGAGGTGAGTTATGACATTTTCTTATAAATTATAAACCTTTGTTTCCGCATGGCAACCATTCACAGATAATATATATATAAATCGTTTCCCCTCCCCCAGTTCGTTACATGAATTAATTTAAAAAGTCATATTTTAATCCTATACATTTAGCGAGAGACTTTAAATTCTATCTATTTTCTATGCATTGATTTCTGACTTATGGTTGCATTTTTGCACGCCAAATTTTGTGATGTCGCTTTATAGCACTTAAATACTTTCTGCATACTTATAGTTTTACACACATTACATTACACAAATTGTTGTATAAAAATTAAAATTCTGTCACATAATGTTGAAATGTAATAGAGTAGAATCTCACAGACTCGACTTCCGATATCTCGACATTCCATATAACTCGGCAACGTTTTAGGAACTTTTTTAAGATATCTCTAGGCCAAAAGAGCAGATATTACATACAGTGCATATAAATGTTTCTTAATGCATATGTCTTTCCTGTTCTGTTCAAAGATTTGATTGTTCTTTTTCTGTAATTTTTGCCCTTTTCACATTGTGCCATCAATTCTTGGAACTGCCCAACAAATTTTAAGATCTGTTGTAATACTTGTCAACACTGATTGCTTCTTTCGAGGATATGAAGAACGTCTGGTAGCAGCTGGCCACTGGCTCACATTTCTTTCTATTGTTGCGAAATATTAGGAGACTTGTCTGAAGTTTTGTGACTGCGTTTTATTGCAAACTAAACTCGCACCAATTCATTGCCGGTATCGTTCCTTGTTCCTTCACATTCAGGCGTATAAGTATTAACATATTTTTGGGAACTTTTCATATTCTGTTACATGAAAATGTTGTTTGAAAAGAAAAGGAAACAAACTAATGTGACAATGGAAATGAAACTAGATGCTTTAAAGAAACAGGACAAAGGGGAAAGTGTAAACAAAATTACCATGGATTTAGGTGTTAGATAGATTACTTTGATATGATGGAAAAAGGAGAGGTCTAAAATCGAGTCTTGGTGTATGAAAAGAGCATTTACGGATAGTTTAAAGGAAAGAAAAAGTATGAAAGGTGATGAATACGAAAAAGTGAGCGAGATGCTTTATTTGTGCTTCAGACAGTGAAAGGAATAGGAAACACACACTTCAGGACCAATTTTACAGGAGAAAGCCCCAAAATTTTAGGATGAATTTCAAGAAGAGCCTGGATGCCTGTATTTACTGCTAGTGCTGGCTGGCTCGACAGATAAAAAAAGCAGTACGGCATCAGGCAGTTAAACGTTTGTGGGGAAAAGCTATCTGCTAACTCGGAAAATGCACAAACTAATTGAAAAAGAGGGTATATCTGGAGATCAAATTTATAATTGGGATGACAGAGCCTAGATTTTGAACATTGGGATTTTAATAGAAATGGTAAGGAGGAAGTTCTTTTGGCTCGCCTCAGGATTGGTTACTAGAGTGACACCTAACTATCTTCTGAAAGCTGAAAATGAGCCTATTTGTGTAAATTGTAATAATTGTCTATCTGTCCGTCATATTTTAATTGAGTGTCCAAGTTTTAATAATCTTCATCAGAAATATTTTAATAGCTGTGACTTACCTTTCGACTGTTTAATAGGAAGAGAGGTCAATTGTAATTTATTTGAGTATTTAAAAGAGACTGGCTTTTATTATGTAATGTAATCTGTTTTGAAAGTTGCATATTGTATTTTAATATGGGCTTGTACCTTGTTTTTATATGACTTCATCCTCTGGATTTGGTAAGCAATTTCAAAGCATCAAATATTCATGATTTCATCTAGTATGAAATGTGGTGAATAATGTGCCTCGTGTTTGGCACATTATAACCATTTTTAGTTTTGCGCCAATAATCTTATTCTCACTTACTCACTGATGAGAGCAGTCTGAATTTTCAAATGCTAACTTCAAAAACGCTGGCATCCAGGGAAGAAAAATCGGCACTGGTTACAAAAGAAGCAAGGAGCGGGTAACAGTCTTGGCATGCAGCAATGCAACAAGCAGCCATAAGCTCAAACTAGCACTTATAGGCAAATCAAAAAAATTTCCGGGCGTTTAAAAACTTTAAAATGTACACTAATGGGACCAAAACCAACTAAGATCTTCCATTTTGGTACCGGAATGGTACAAAACGGAACTGTTTGGTTCCATTTGGGTACAGTCAAATGCATGGATGAATGGAGCAAAAGTTGATGATTGGTTTCATCAGCAGTTCGTTCATCGGTGGAAAGGCTTTTAAAATTTAAAAAAAAAAAAAAAAAATCTACCAAGGAAAGCAATTCTCATTCTAGTCAATACCTTATCTCATCCTAATGCAGAACAGTTACGAGACGAAGGCATAATAGCCAAATTTCTGCCTCCTAACATAACTTCAGTGTGTCAGCCAATTGACCAAGGCGTTTTGGAGGCATTGAGGGAAAAATACAAACCTAAACTTTTTTCATCTCTTGTCCTAGCCAAAGGTGTAATATGATCTAGAAACTGAAGAAAATAGATATGTTGGATATTGTTGAATGAATAACTCATTCTTGGAGTGAAATCGATCAGATAAGCCTCCTTCGTTCCTGGAGAATTTTGCTGGACAGTTCAGGAAACAGAGAAGAGACATAAAATTGTAAAATAGTTGATAAGAAATTTCCAGGCTGTGAAGAAATTACTGATGGCGCTGTTCAAGAATGGATTGGACAAGATAAAAATTGTGAAATTTTAGGATATGCAGAATTGTGAAATTGCACTGATGAAAAACAATGTGGATAAAAATGAAGATGAATCAATAAATAAAGAGATTGAAGACAACTCAAAAGCTAAAATAATGACCCATAGTGAAGGACTGAAGGCTGCTGAAGGAATGCTCCATTGCATGGAGGAGTAAGTGCATCTGGTATGGACATTTTCTTTCTCCATCGCCTACTGACTGAAGGTGCATGATGACAGAATGAGTGTGAGAGACAATCTAGCATCACACGATATTTTTCTACCAAGAAATAATAATAATTTTTCTTCATTTGTATATGTTAGTTTTTTACTCTATTATCTTGGGGTATTTGTTCTTTTTATGGCTCATCCTATTATGCTAGAACTTGACATAAAAAAATAAACATTAATTTAATTGTATGCTGTACTTTTCCATGACCAATATTGTGCTACAAATGTCTAGAGTAATTTAGAGTTAAATATTAAAGAGTTCTCAAAAACCCATCTCTTATTCTGTAAAACTTGACAGTCTCTCAGTCCACATTATGTGGAACTCCACTCTATAGAGATATATATATACACACAGAACTAAGCTGCAATTTCTAGTAACAGAAGCAAATTTTTCTACTTAGATTAAATGGAATATTTATGATGATTTAATGTAATTGTTATTCTCCTCTGAGATAAACAAAACAGTTCTATTTCTATGCGAAGGCAAGAGATGAAGGGAAAAAATTACCCCCAAAAATTTTACTAAAATAAAAATCTGCAAAATATCATCAACACAATATCTGTGACTCTTAAATATATTATTAAAATTTTGTGCCTGTTAAAGGACTTAGGAAATTATTAATAAATGTAAGTTTTTCTAAAGAGATCAGTTAGTGATCTGTTTTAAAGAGAAAACTCTTTTTGTAGAATAAAGACTTTTGAGACATATCTACCATACACAGATTTTCTTATACACTAAGCGTAAAACCTCACATTATAATGGACACTTTTGTTTAAAATCTTAATAAAATGCTGAGTTTAAAAAGTTTGTCCAGTTAGGATTTAAAAAATTTAGTCATAAACAAGACTGTACGAATTAAGAATGACAACATAGCAAGTTATTCACGAGATTTTAGTACTTTGAAGAATGCATACTGTGCTGCAGAAAGGAGATTTCCGATTTCTACACAAAAACATCGATGGTTTGTTTTCCTTTCAGTAACTCTTTTTCAATGGAGATCAGCTACAGATTCTTCTTCTGGGCAAAGAAAAGTTGAAACGAATATTGTATTATCTTTAAAGGAAAATAACAAGGAAGCATCATAGAAAAGGGAGGGTTGAAGAGAGAGAGACTTTTTTTTAACCAATAAAAGGTGGTTCCCCATCCAATAAACTTTATACCAAATAGATAATTTTCTAAGTGGAAATGTACAGTTTCTGATGATTTCAAAATCATTTAAAAATATATCAAATAAAATATCATTGACTTTCTTTAATAATAATTCAAAAATTGTGAAATACATCAAAGAGCAAGATATCATTATAGGGACTGTATAAGACTTGTGAAGTTTCATATCAACTTGAATTAAATTTGGAATTCTTACCTTTTACCATTATATATGGTGAACAAAAAGTCTTTGATTGCAAAATTTTGCATGTGAAACAACTGCATAAAATAGAAATATATTTTTTTCTTCGCCATGTAGTTGATTACACCAAGAAATAGTAAAGAAGTAGCATTCATTAAACAAAATTGAAGAATATTTTGTAGAATGGAAACTAAATCGTCTGGACACAATTCTCCAGATGCTCAGTTGGCACAAAAGAGTTTTAAAGAAACTGGTAACACTGATGACTTTGCAAGAAATGTCAGTGCTTTGAATGAATTTGCAAGAAATTACCTTGTGAGATGAGATTGTTGACTTTGTCGGAAATCAGACAAAGGACATGTCAAATATCGAGTCTTTGTCACATCCAAGATCGACTCGTGGCTACTTTGAAGATCAGAATAACTCATCCTTTCTCAAATGTTATAGAGAAAATGTTGAACAGTTAACGTGTCATTCTCCAAACTACTTTTCCTTACTGCAGTTACCATTTCCAAAACCATATATGTCTAACTAAAGTAGTTTTTGTGCAATATATTGTTGTTATATATGTTTTTGGGATTTTTTTTATGCAGTTAGAAATGTGTTGCTTAATTTTTTTAATCATGTATATTTATTTATATATATACTACTCATATAAGATCATAGGATTATACATCTTGTTCTAATTACAGGGTTCTGACTTTCCAAATGCTTTTGCAGAGTTTTTCTGTAACTTCAGTTTGAATAATATTGCTGCAATATTAATGCACTAATAGTTAACATCTTGATATATAATTGTAAAATTTCTGTGTATATTCAACCATGTATATCAGAAAGCAGCTATAAAATTACTTTTTGTATTGTATGTACACTGCACACACACACACACACACACACACCAAAAAAAAAAAAAAAGGCAGGCGATTTCTATATCTCCCATTCTACTGAGCCGATTGATGAAATTCAAAATGCGCTTTCATGTTTTGAAAGTGCGACTGAGGATATATGTTAGATTTATATATAGCATTGTTCTAATAATAGGTATTCTGACAGAAAATCAGACTTTTTCTGAAATAACATACCAATTTTTTTCCCATATTTCGATTCCACGAGTAAAATTATGGCAAATATTAAATTTTGTAATTTTTGGTGAGAAATTTATGGAGAAATTTGCATTTTTTTTTAGTTTGAACGAAGTATAATTCCCTTAACAAACTTCTTAATTTATAGCAATCTATTTTCCTTTCCTTTTTTCCATTGTACATGAGCAGAAAAAAGGCATCCTTCATACTTTCAAATAATTTTAATAAAGTACGTAAACCACATTTGGCGTTATTATTACTTATAGCAAATATGCCAAATTTCAAAATGTGCAGATATGTAAATCCACATATATCTTTTACAATTTTTAATTTGCAAGTTAATTTTTTTGAATTAATTAAAAGTAACATTCCTGCAAGTAGTACATAATTACTCGACAAATCTAGGTATTTATGAAGATATGAAAAAACTTTGTACATATATTGTTTTCGACTAGATTGAACTTCATGTTTCATTGTTTCATGTAAATGTAATACCATTGATTGATTTAAAAAATATTGTTTTATTATCATACAGTATTTATTTGTGAAAATTAGTATATGGCATTTATGAATAAAAATTTTAACTCTGTTTTTTTTACTTATAATTTTAGCTGTAGAAGATGCAATACCATTCGTTGAAAAGAGGGATACTATGGAATATTACTGTTTCTATGAAAAATCAATGACAGATAATAATGAAACTGTTCAGTTTCCAGCTAAATCTTTAAATTTGCTTTTAGATGATGCTTCTGAGAGTTCTGCTGATATACAGAAAATTAAAATAAATTTCCAAGGTAAATAATATTCATCATGTGTGGTGTACTTATATTTAAAATATGTGATTGAATTAAATTTTATTGTATCTTTAAGTTCTTCAGCAAATAACTAATGATAATCTTCTGAAGCTCTAATTAATATATGTGTATTTAAATTTAAATTCACTTGAAATATGCATATATATAAAAAGCTCTAATAATGGAACATTAAATCAATCTAAATTTATTTTTATTTTTCGATTAAAATCTATTATTCAGACCATCAACTAAAAATCACACAAAAATATACGAATATTAAATTCCCCTCCCCCCCAGCATTTTATTATGGCAGTAAATTTCAATACAAGTATAAATGTCAACAAAAATCAATCTCAGACATTTTCTAAAATTTGAAATAAGAATACTTTATAGAATCATATGTTTGCAATTTACAGATCGAAACAATTTTAAGAAATGCACTCCCAAAGGGAATATAAAACTAATTGATAGACATTGATATTTAGCGCCTTCTGAATTTTTTCAAGTCCAAAGTTATCTCTTGATGATTATATAAATCTCAGAAAAAAATAGTCTCGGAAAACATTTGTTGCTACTTAAGCAACAAATATTTTCTAAGACTAACTTTTCTGACTTTCTAAGCAAACTCATTTTAATTTGGAAATTTTTTAATTCATTACTGAAATAATTCTGATAGACATACTTTGTATCACTTAACTTACAGTAATAGTGAATATTTATTTAGTTGAAAGTTAGTTAGTTAATAGTGAATATTTAATTAGAAAGAATTTGGTTTTAATTGTTTTTGTATATGGGTCAAAATTTTCAAGAAAACAATAACAAACCATTTTTTCTTTTCCCCCCTCCCCTTTCTTTCTCCTTTCTTTTTTGAGGACGGATGTTTGTGTTTTGTTTTAGTATAATCTATATTAATTTTTATGTACCTGAAGATGTATCATTTCTCCAAAATGTTGAATGTCCTTCATGATGATTTATAACCCAGCATAAAAGAACTTCTCTGTAGCAAATGTTGCATTTTGTTACCTAATAAAGAAATAAATAAAATCACAGAAATATTACAATTACTTATTATTACAACACTTTTATGATTAAAAAAATTTTAAAGTTTTAAAAATTTATAAGGCCTATTTTTTACTTTATTTCTCTGAGATTTAAAAAAACATTAAATTGATTTTTTCTTTTAATTTAATGAATTAATAGTTTTCATGAAATATTATTAAGTACAAATTTTTAATAATTTTGAATTATTAATGTGTAGTAAATCCAGTTTTGTGTTTCTTGTTGTAGATAAACTGTTGTACATATACACATCTGGAACTACTGGCTTACCGAAGGCAGCGATTATTAGACACAGCAGGTATTTAAGATAAAAAATGTGATATTTAAGGCATAATGTTTTGTTTTGAGACTTTACTTTTAATTTTAATGATTATATGATTTTTTAAATTTTTTTCTGTGAAGCTTACTTTTGTCCGAATCAGTTTTCAAATTGTTGCCACCAAAAGTTTAAACTATTTGTTGTCCTAAAGAAATAAAATATTGAAGAATTTATATATGTGCATATATGTTTTTTCACAATGCTCGCATTGTGAAAAAACAACAGCACCTAAAGCCATTGAATTTTGAATATATGTAGACTTCCACCCAAATATGGTCCCCAGAATACCAAAGTTTAGACTTTTTTTTTTTTTTAATTGTACAAATTTAATGAATTTTTTATGAAAAAACTCAGTGACCTTGGAAGCAAGTAGTGGCAACACTGCTCAAAATAAAACATTTTTATCTATCTTTGCATCGTTAAGCCTAATTTTATTTTAAAAAAATCAGAACAAAAAACGTTTCACTTCTAGCCTCGTAATTTTTGATATCATTTTAGATTATTACTTGAGCCTTTATATATGTTAAGATTAGCACTTAATAACGTTTTTTTCTGTATTTTACATGAAAATATACTTAAAAAATTGCTTATCTTGTAAAAGAAATTTCATAAGCGCTATTTAATTCAGAAAATCCATCAATAAAGTTTAAAATTAATAAAACAACACAATAAAGACTATTTACAGTAAGAAGTAACAAAATTTAAAATGAGGACTGAGTGTGCTAAATCTCGAAGCACGGAGAAGTATCACTTTCTAACTCTTTAGAAAATTAATCATCATTCTCATCTGCATTAGTAAATGGTTCATTAACCATATGAGGGTATTATTCCTCTGATAAATAGCGTCTTCCTGCCATAAATGTGCTGGATGTGAGGCTTTCCAAAATAAAAAGAGAAGAAACAGAAATATACCTGAAGGCAATGCAAAACGTAGCAGAGGGGAAAAATAGAATAAATAAAGGAATTGGATATAAATCAGACAGGCGAATATTTATATTAGCACGTGCGGATTTAAAGAGCCCACCTCTGTTTATGCTTTTCCCCCCACCCCACCCTCACAGCAATTGATGAGTAAGGTCCCAATCACATTATGTTTTGGTTATGCGGGACTTGACGTCGAAAGAAACAATTCTCAGAACCCACACAATTCCGAGAAACATGCGTAGCTAGATTACCATTCTCACTTACTACAAAGGCTTGAACGGTAAACAGTAATCGATTATCGCTCAAATTGGGATCACGTGATCTTTCAGAAGCAGAACTTTCGTCTGATTGGTTGTCTCTACTTGGGACACGAGACATTTTTGGTGAGGTTTAAAAAAATCCCGTATAGCTACAACATTATTTCCGTATCTAGGCGGGACTTCGCTTCCAGCGGGGTTCTTTTTTTAAGGAATCCTCCCGTTTAAAACAATGCTACCAGAATCTCGTTTCTCAGAAAAGTCCCATCTAGCAGGGACTGTAGCCATATGTAATAACCTCTTAAAATACCAAAGTCAGGCAGAATATATCAAACTCAAGGTCAGGAACCTAAAACTGTGTTGATTTAAAAATTAATGGACATAGGATGCCATCTAGTGGCCTTCAGAAAAACGTTCCAGCTTAAAATGTGTATACGCATTACCTATCCTCTGAATGCAATCTCTAGTGATGCATGGAGGGGACACCCGGCTGTAAGAGACGTTCTTAGGGAATGCGTATATGGGACACCCATTCTGAAAAGGTTAAAAGCAATAAACACTGTTCTCGAGAATATTTTTTATACTTTTAAGTATGATTGGTTTAAATGCATTTAAGTCATGAGATGTCTAATGAGAAATATTTAATATTTTTATGAAATGCCACTAGCTGGACTTATTGAAATCATTATATACTTTTTTTTTTTTTTTTTTTTTTTTGATAACTGTTTTAGGGTGCTAGTCTAAGGTGTGGGGTCTAAGTCTAGGGTATGTCTAAAGCGAATATAAAAAAAAAATATGTCAGTAGTTACACTCTTTTAGGAATTCTAAAAGTATGCTGCTGTTAAATATTTTGTGATTTTGCTGAATTTCATGTGACATAAGAATAAATATCACACGGAAAACATTATATTTAACAATTAAAGATAAAAACATGAAAAGTTAGTGATAAAATAAAAAAAAAAAGTTGTGTAACTCATCTTGATAAAAAAACTGAACATTGGTATGATAAATTGGGAAAAGTTTGAAAAAAAAAAAACAGAAAAATGTATGTCAACACGTAACACTGTATCGGGATAAGAGTTTTGTGCTCATTTTTATGTGGTGCAGTTGCGAAGAAATGATGCTTGACAGTAAAGCTGAAGAGGTTAAAAAATGTTATGTTGGCAGGAAAGAGTGCAAGTGAAGACAGATAAATTGTGAGCTCAAAGATGACATAAAAATCCTTAAAGTGTGACATTAAAAATCTGAAACCTTTCAGATTTTCTTTCATCCTGTCTTTATGTATTTTGTTCAAAATTTTCTTTTATTTAATTAAAGAGGAAACTGCGTATTTCTATTTACTGTTTTTTAGAGTATAATAAATGTACGCTTGTCAGTGTTTAGAAAAAAATTGGTTTCTGTTAGTTTTGGTGTTTACATTTGGCCAATTTGTTGGTAACATGGCAACTAAACAGCAAGATGTTACTTGACTTGTCATGGGTCTCTGTTATTTGTTCTTATCAGCTTGATGGCTTATGAAACCAATTCTTTTGTAGACCTGTCATCAACGTGGATTTTTGGCTATTCCTATGCAACTTTACCCATTTCTAACCTATTGTTATAACAGTTTTGTCAGTATACAAGTTGCTTTCTGTTTTAGTCTACAGTTGAGCTATTTCCAGAATTCATCAAATCAGTATTTTGTTATAAAGCCTCAGAAAATTTAATCTTTCTTGGCATTGGTGTTAGTGGGTCTGCTGTTGCTGCAGCCAAATGAAATGGAACAAGTTTTTTTCAACATGCTAATACCAAAATAATTCAAAACATAATTCCAAAACTATCTAAAGCATAATTCATACATTTCATTATTTCTGGGAGATTCCGTATCCTGATAATCATATGAATGATAATGTTACAATACATTAATAACTATGCATACATTCTTCTTGTATTGGATGAAGCAAATTTGTCAATTAGTTCGTCAGAGTTAATCATTTCAAAGTTTTCGCTTTCCACATTTAAAAATGCTAGATCACGTAGACAATCTTGTCCCATCGATGATCATAGATATGGAAAATTAATTTTTATTTGCTGAACAAGCTTTCACAGCTAGCTGTTGATACTAAAATAGTAAAGAATATTTGAAGGGAGACTTTCAGGTTTGGAAAAACATTCTGTCCATATGAGCTTATAAAGGTAAGAAGCTCTATTGGAGTTTTAGGTTCGGTTTCTTTTCTACTGTGGAATAACATCTTGTAGTCGCATATTTCTATGTAGAGTTCTGTTCTATTGAAATCTGTATTATAAAATTCATTAAAATTTTTACATTTCTTTTCAAAATTGTTATCAACATTATCCGTGTTTAATATTTTCTTAATGTGAAAAATTTCGTTTTCTGTGGAAAGGCCAACATTGCTAGCCAGTTCTGTGGGCATTTTTTGGTATCTTCTAACATGGATTGTTGTATCAGTACCTAATTTTTTGCAAAGAGACGTAGCCTCTTCTATTGACTCTTCACAGATCTCCTCTTGAATTTTTGCAAGTTTAATCACTTATGATTCAAAATCATTCAATGCTTCTCTGAAATTCATTTTAGGATCCTGTAATCTGAACTGCACATGATCAGTGCTCCTCAAAAGTTCCATGTCAGAAATGTTATAAAATCAGTTATAAAATTAAAATTCAGTGTATCTTGCAATAAAATTGTAGCTTCTCTTCCAGTGTCACTTGTGATAGAACTGTCCTCTGCTAATATATGTAATAGTTGTGCTAATTCTTCTATCGATAGTAACACTAACCGTTTTTGGTCTGGCTCTCCATCTTGTTTCAGATTCATGTTTAACAGTTTTCTTTAAAGCATTCTTTAATTCCCATTGTAATGTAGAATGTTAGAAAAGAGATATATGTTTCTGTTTATTCCAAAACATGTTACAAACATGTTAGCTGCAGTAACTTCTACTAAATTTAGTAAGTAGTTATCATGGTTTACAAATAATGCTTCATTATTTTTCCCATAATTCTTTGTTGAACACCAGATTGACCTGACATCACGGCAGTGTTATCTTAACATTGTGATCTACAGTTTTTAAATGAAATCTGATCAAAATTTAATTTTTCGAAAACCGTATTTTTAATTGAGGCTGCATCTTCAGCATGTATTTCAATAAATCCCCCCAAAAAGATTCTTTGATATAAAATTTTCTGCTGGTAAAATCAATACCTATATACCTAAATTTAATCTGGAAAGTTATTGAGTAAATGATTTAAAAGCAATAAACACCGTTCTTGAGAATATTTTTTGTACTTTTTAATATGATTGATTTAAGTAAAAATGCATTAAAGTCATGAGATGTCTAATGAGAAATATTAAATATTTTTATGAAATGGCACTAGCTGGGTATATTGAAATCATTATATACTTTATTCTTGCTGAGCAATATTGGGAGCCAAATCAAATAAAATTTTATATTTATTTCTTTTGATGTCGCTTATTAGTTCATTATTATAGTTTGTCATCAGAATTAATAATAGTTCAATTTCGAAGTGCTTATAATAAAAGATTATTGTGTATTGTTTGTCATTATTTGTGTATTGTATACTAAGAACAAGTATTAGCTGTACGTGCATTTCATTTAAAAATATATAAATATTTTGCAAATTTTGAAAAATAAAGTGTTCAGAAAGAAGAAAAAACGTTTTGCATATGAAGATAATTGATTGATTTACTGCAAACATTTATATTATATATTATTATTTATATTATTTATATATCATAATTTATATTATATAAACATTATTTATGTTTTATGTTTTATCAGACAAATCAAGAAATGAAATAATTAGTCATATTACAATAATTATTAATTTCCCAGAAATTGATTAAAATAAAAATTGAAATTTTCAGGAAAATCTTGTTTATCATGGGGACCATATGGCATCTCTCTTTGAGTAGTGCCCGGGGCAGGATAGACCCCCCTTGGCCTCCCTCTTGCTACGCCCATATATCCAGAAAAAAAAAGAAACTTCTGGAAGAACTACGGTAGTATTTTTGCAGCAACATCTGTAATGGTTGTGGGAAAGTCTGCGAATAGCAATAAACTTGGTACTGTGAATTGTTCTTCAGTCTGAAGAAACAATTTTCAAGTGGCGCTCTTTCCCCATATTAAGCATAATATAGTTCAGCCACCTCATCCATGACCATGAGCACAAACATACATGCTCCATTCGGGCTGAATTAGCCTCAAAATAGGGTAGAAGGATGGGTATTTTCTTTTCCTCGAGCATATAAATTCTCTCTTTCTGGAGAAGAGAAGACTTTCACGTTGCAGCAAGTAATAATGCCCCTTTTAGATGAGTCTATGTGTTTTGGCAGAATACCAGCCAAGGTTGTGTTTGAGATGGTCAAACTTTACTATCATCACACAATGCTATTAGACAGGTAGCCTTATTTTTGTCTTCCCTTTTAAATAGAGAGTTGCTTAATTCATTTTTATATGTTTGCATATTTTTATTTCCAGGTTCATTTGGATTTCAGCAGCGGCTAAGTATGTAGCACAGTTAAAGGAATTTGAAACATTCTATAATCCTCTTCCCTTATATCACTCGGCTGGAGGTATACTTTTCTTGTCAGTAGTTTTAGCCTTTGGTGGAAAGATGGTTGTACGAAAAAAATTTTCTGCTTCCAACTTTTGGAAAGAAGCTGTGAAACACAAAGCAACTGTAAGTCTGTTAATTTATGATTTTTGAATTCTATAATAATTTAACATTGTAAATGAAGTAAACAAATTATTGCAAAATATTTTGTATCTTAGCATTATAAATAGGTAAGTGAGGAATTAAAGGATTCAAGGAATTAGATGAAACATTACTATAATATTTCACTAGATTTGGAACAAGGGGGAAGCAAGTGAGGCACTTACCCTAAGTGAATAACGAGAAGTGATGCCAGACTCAATTACAGAAATTTAAAGATTCAGTTTAAAAGAAATTACGGTTGTTAATTTTAAAATATGAAACTCATTAAGGAGCACCATTTTGAAAACATCATATTTTATGAAACAAAATTTTATTCAAATTATTTATGATAATTTCGAAGTATAACAGTATTGAAAGTTCTTTCATTCTTGTGATATTCATTCTTTCATTCATAAAGTTCTTTCATTCTTCTGATATTCATTCTTTCATTCATAAAGTTCTTTCATTCTTCTGATATTCATTCTTTCATTCATAAAGTTCTTTCATTCTTGTGATTTCATTCTTTCATTCTTTCATTCTTTGATGTCCATTAACCATCATTTGTAGCCAACCTCTTGGGCAAGATGGTTCTTCTCAGTTTACATTTGACGCAACATAATCAGCAGCAAATTTATTTAAATAAGAATTAACTGATTTACTTTATCACCTTAACAAATCGGATTTCTTTAACATTCATGGTTTCCATCAATTCTTTGAAATGAGTTAAGGTGAATATTTTATTGTAAACGATCCAGCTGAATTAAGGAAAGAATTAATATCACTGATATGCTTTCAAAAGTGCTGCATCTTTATTCTATTCTAACATTAAATTTACTGTTGAAACTAGATTACTGCAGCTTATTTTTATTAGATTATTTCAGAAATTAAATTTCTCTTGGAAACTCTATAGAGCTGACATCATTTTCTTCAATCTCCCTATAATTTGTACTGTGACTCTTTGCACTTTTATTTTGTTTAGCCTTCTCTGTCCTCGGTTATTCTTTTATTTGTAATGAAACATTAAAATGGATTACATTATATCAAAGAAATAAAAAAAGAAAACTTAAAAATTGGAATTTTATTGCCAAAGAATTCTGACAAATCCTTCCGACTAATATTAGGATTATGTAACTTAATAACTAATATTAAGATTGCAAAAACACCAATGTCTACCAATATCAACAAAAATAATATTCCTAAAATTTGTAATAATGGTAGTAGCTAGAGAATTATTTCATTAAAATAACTACAGTAATTTTTTTAACATTTTTATTAAAACTAAAACTAGGCTATAAAACACTATTAATAACTAAAGTTCCTAGAAGCTAATTATAATAAAACAGTTATTTGTCCATTAATGGCCAACTAGATAAACCCAGTGACTACTCGTCGTTCAAACCTGGCAAACGGGCAGGCAGCAAATTTTCTTTCATAACTTTTCCCATGTGTACATATACAAGCTTATTTCTCTTGGAAAGTTCCCCATGAAGGCTCTCCATTTAAGTGGATTCCCCTTACCTGTTTGTTTATTAACCAAACCAAATGGATTTATTTAATTATTAACTATAATTGTTTAATATTTAATGTGAGGCAGAAAAATCAATGTCTCATATTCTTTATATTTTTTAATTTGTTAGTATTACCTAGCATTAATAATAATGAATCAAATTTATGTAAAGCATCAAACAATAAATTATTGCAGCCGACTGAATAACAGTGTCTTAAAGCAAATCAATTAAGGAATTTTTTAATCTTATCTCCTTTGAATTTAAAACTGCAAGAAGCAGAAAAGGTAAATGTTGCCTTGCAATCCGAAGCTGTAAATGTATGTAAAACTAGAGAGATTATTTTTTTTAAGAAGGAAATATGAAAAATGAGCAATGCCCTCACTGGGACTCTGGACGTCTCGAATACGCGCCGAGTATGCTACTGTTACACCACAAAGGGATGCAGAAAGGAGGAAGAAAATACCTTATACCCTTAATAGAATAATTAGCTTGTGATCAAATTCCAGTAAATGGGAAACCTACGTGGCATGTTCTTATATTTTTCACATGTGTAATGTAATTAATCACACAGTTTTTCGTAGAAATTCCTTCATGAAGGCATCTCTTCTTTAGACAGATATTCCTCATGTGGCTTGCAGTGTTAAATTAAATAAAAAAAAATTATAGAGGGATTGTTCCTTGCTGTACATCAGAAAAAAAGTATTTCTAAAAACATCTAGAAATGTGAAAACTTAGCTTTAAATATAGCAACATAATTTGAAGAGAAATGAAAAATATAGATTAAGGAATCAAGCTATCCTAGATTCAGTTGATAAAGAACTAATTTTTCAAAAAAATATTATTTCACAGTGGAAGGAGGTCGTAGATGTTTTAAACTCACAAGCAAAATGCAGATATAAAAAATTAAATAAAGTATCTTTTGATTTCCATTTTCTGTGCGGTGAAAATTATCATTAGATTTACATAATTTAATAGAAGTAGCTGCTAACATAGCAATTATTTATTGAAATGATATATGTGCAGCAAAATTTTCATCTGAAATATCTGTTCTAAAATGTGTCATTTCTGAGTATTAAGCTGTTATAAGTTTAGATATGTCAAAGATAATTCAGGAATACAGCTTACTTCAATAGGATCAGAATTTGGAACTAGCATTAAGAATATTTTGACTTTGCCAGAACATTCTTTGCATTAATTGCTTTACTATATATTTAAAAAAAAAAAGCTATTTATTTACTTTTTAATTTAAATACCAACATAAATTTTCTGAATATATATAAAATTTTGATTAACTGTAATTTAAGAGCTAACATATTATGATTAAAAACCTTGGGTGAATGTAAAAGTGTATAGCTATATGTACTCACATCCAGCAACAGTATCTTTACATGTAAGAAATCACAGAACTAGGAACTGTAATTTTATGTATATGTGTGGAATGATGTGTAACATTATAAACACATAAATGCAAAAATATTTAGAATACTGCATATGATATTAAACTACAGCATGATACAACAAAAATAGCAATATGTTACAAGGTGAGTCCAGAGGGTAAAAATTCATTATTTGCATGAAATGATGTGTAACATTATAAACATATAAATGCAAAAATATTTAGAATACTCCATATGACATTAAACTATAGCATGATACAATACAAATGGCAATGATGAAGAAGGTAAAAATTCATTAAGGGGAGAAGAGAACTAAAAAAAATAAGTGAAGCTTATGAATTTTGTATTGACTGTGAGCTTCCCTGACTAGTACATACATATCACAACATGCTTTCATCATCCTGGCAATAACATAGTTAACCCCAGTTTTAGAAATTAAGTTCCTCTCCTCCAGTAAGGTATCTTCATGGCATTTACATCCCTAGAAGAATATCTCCAAGCAACTATTTGTCCAAGGCAGTCCCGTAAGTTCTCTGCCGGGTTAATATAAGGAGATTTTGCTGGTCACGATTTCTTTGTATATATAGGCACGCAATTATCTCTTTGGCTGAGGTGAAAAATATCCAAGAACGGCTCCGAATATTCCACATTTTAGATGAAGGGATAACCATTTAAATTCACTAAGTGCAAATGCTCAGAAGTTTCACCAGAAGGTTTTAGCTGAGATTTTTAGCTCAGCTAAATTTTTAGCTCAGCTGAGATTTTAGCTTCACAACAAATTATGTGCCACATTAATCTATTAAAGAATATGGTATTTCTGCCCTTTGTTGCCTTATATGTTAATGGTATTACATCAGTCTGGGAACTGAACACCTGTTATTTGTTTCCCAGAGAGAGCGTCCGTCACACATTCCTAAACTCGTAATTGTGAGTCTTTCCGTTTACAGTGGTGCTATTCTCAAGTCAATCATGAATCACAGACTAGATTGCGATCCATACTTATGAACAAACATTTATTACTGGAAGAAATTTGGAACATTTTAGTGATAAATTACATCATTGTCAAAATAATCTCAGCTATTGATAATAGTAAAAGTGCTCAATGATATAAGCTTCTATAGCACTAGTTCCTTCTTCTTCCCCCCCTTTTTTTTAATTAATTAATTAAAGGCAACTACATCAGTCTTAAAAACATACAAAAAAATCATAATAACATTTTGGATGCCAAAACATTATTAAATCAATATAATAAAGGTATTTAGCAAAACACCAAAGCATTAATAAATCAATATAATAAAGGTAGAAATTGTAAGTAATCATAATAATAAAGATAGAGATGCCGCCTGTAAGTCTAAATTTGATATTTTAATCGAATTTTTTTATAACTGCTGACAGTACTGAATTTACTTTTTTCAGCTAAGATGTGTCAGAAATTATTGCTTATTTATGACATTAACTGTTGCTTTAGTGATCAAGTTATGCAATACATCTCAAAGTGTTCAGTGAAAAGTGAATAAATCAGGTTTTAGTAAATATTTGCTTTTAGTTATAGCTTGTTAACTGAATTTTTGGACCTTCCATGACTAATTTTACTTTTGTGCAGCAAAAAAGCAGTTTTTTTTACTTCAGATTTTGATCAAATCATTTTGATTAATTAGCTTGATCAGATTTTCCTACGTGGGACAAAACTGTTTTGGTAAGACAGGAGTGGAGAAGTAGTCCCCTCTCCACTGCACTTTGCTAGAAGCTAATCTTATTATTCCAAATACTAGTAAATAATACTCTTGGTTGGAATTTTCTGACACCCCCTAACAATCGAAACAGCCTCCACCTTCCAAATTATTTCGGTCTTTGTGAAGGTGGTTGCCTTAAAGAATATTGTTTAGGTTGATATTTAATACCAGTGTTTATTTGGGTTCTCTGAAATCCTATCCACATTTATAGAAATTTCCATTGCATTTACTGTCAGAAATATATATATATATATATATATGCTATGTTGCTGCAATTATTTCTCTTAAGAGGAATTCAGTTACTAATGTTACAAATTTGAAAAAAATAAAATTTTTTAAATTATGGAAAGAATTTTACTATATTTTGTTCAATTACACATTTATTTCCAGGCAGGTTTTATCTTTTTAAGTACTATATCTCATTGAACAATTTATTATCACATAATTTCCTTCTTCAAAATATTTTCCTTCAAGAATTTCTTCTGTGTACTTCCACGACATTTCAAGAGGAAATCCATTTAACATTCTTTAAATGACTTAATTTCATGAAATGCAGCTGGAATTTAAATTTAGAAAAATCTTTCTCAAACTTGTCTAAAAAATTCATGGTTAAATGTTTTCAGTTGCTAATTTCATTTCATAGGTCAGTCAATACATTGGAGAAATTTGCCGTTATCTCTTAAATCAGCCAAGAACTCCTGAAGAAACGCAGCATTCAATTTGGTTGTTCTTTGGAAATGGTCTAAGATCTCACATCTGGAAGGAATTCAAAGAGAGATTTCAAATCAAATCTATCGTTGAAATGTATGGAGCAACAGAAGGAAATGCTAACCTAAGTACATAAGTATAATTATTTCTTTTTTGAATTGTTGTTATTAATTATAATGGAGCAATTCCAATTTAAAGTATTGATCACCTTATTTCAGTCATCACTTATATGTTGCGTCTTTAAATAACTGAAATAAAACTACACCAGTGTGCAAAAATTAAGGACGAAGTTGAAAAATTAGCTTATCAGTGGAAGAAAGAGGCAGAGCAGACTGAAAGACTAATCAGATCAATTAAGGTCAGGTACATTAGCACATGTGCATAGATGCAGCTAGATGTAATGGGGAAGTGTCAGAGGGGTGTAAAGATCTTTGGAGGTGTGAACTCAGCATTTTGGAGAAGCTGTTGCTTTGGGTATATCAGATTAAACGATGTTGAGTTGTTGCATCATTGTGAAGTGTCGAAGAATAAATCTGTTAGACAACATCTGGATGCTTTTACCCAAGGCCATATCAGTGGAAAGACTGAGGAAGGTCGAAGTGTGACAAGCATGGCTATGGAGTTCGAGATTGCTCACAGCATTGTTTCACGAGTTTGGAAAGCATTTTAAACTACAGGAACAGCTGTCTGATGTTTCAGCAGTGGTCGTCCATGAACAACCACAGCAGTGAACAACTGGTATATTGCCTTATAGGCAAGTAGAAACATTCAGCAAACAGCGGGAGAAACATTCAGCGAACAGCGGGAGAAACATTCAGCAAACAGCAGGAGAAATCTCAAGACACATGGAACAGGCAATTGGGTGACAGATATCGCATTTTGCATTGGCTAGGAGGCTGCACAGTGGTGGTCTATTTGTGCGATGACCTGTACGGTGTGTACTACTAATGCTTGCTCATCGAAGAAGTGGTCACCAGAATTGGACAGATAATTAATGGGGGTCCAGTACTCTTTCCGGATGAGAGCAGATTTAGTCTGAGTTGCAATTCTAGACACATACACGTCTGAAGAGAGAGAGGGAAACACACAATAAACCCCTTCAACATTATGAAAAGTGGCTGGTTTGGAAGTCGGGAAGTTCTCACTTGGAGACACATAATACTAGGTAGCCGTACCAACTTCACATCTTCCAAAAAGTTTCAGTCACCAGAGTCTCTGGATCTAAATCCCATCCAGCATATATAGATATCTAGGGAGAGACGCGTGGCGGCATGTAATTTATCGCCAGTAACAATTCCGGAGCTGCGATTGGTGCTACAAGAGGAATAGGCAGCAGTGCGTCAACAACTCATTGACAACCTCATATTCAGCATAGACAAATGATGTGAAACCTGCAAAACAGTCAGGGAAGATCATATCTCCCTCCTAGATGTTTCTTGCTGGACACCTGTTACATGGATGTTTCGGCTTTCTGTTGCACTGTGCTCCATGCTGCTTTTTCAATAAAGTTCCTTTCTGTTATTTCAGTTTCTTTTTTGGGGAAGTTTTGCTTACTTTACCCATGTTCTTACATCTTGAAGATCGTATGGTGTTATTTTTGTTGATTTGGAAAGCATATGTGCAACCTTATATTGAAATAACCATCTCGTCTTTAATTTTTGCACATCAGTGTATATTGAAACCGCAATTCACGTTTCTCCACGAAATTCGCATCGCTCTTAACAATGTTATTGTAAAGCGATTTTCAAATAAATTAAATAAGCAGAAATTAAACTCAAAATTTTATTTTTAATTAAAGGACAAAACATTAATTATTAATAAGGAGAATACTTAGAGAAAATGAAAAATAAATGTAAAAGAAATAATTAAAGATTCATTTAGAATTTAATGAAAAATTTTAATTATTCAAGAAATGTTACATTGTTCTTTCAGCTAACATGTTTGGTAAACTAGGAGCTGTAGGATTTGTATCAAGAATACTTTTCTGGCTCTATCCCGTTCGTTTAATCAAGGTAGATCCTGAAACAGGAAAACCTTTAAGAAATGCACGAGGACTTTGCATTCAATGCCAACCAGGTAAAAAAGAAATTGCTGATCATTTCATTTTAGATTTTAAATTTTGGTTTTAAATATGGAGTAGATTTTATATCTTTTTAACCTGTTTTAAAATTTAGGCGAACCTGGTGAAATGGTTGGAAAAATTGTAAACAGTAATCCAATCAATCAGTTTGATGGATATGTCAGTAACAAAGATACAGAAAAGAAGATAATTAGAGATTGTTTTACAAAGGGAGATATGGCTTTTCTATCAGGTATAATCTAAATTCTTGTTCTCTCTCTTTAAAAGATTTGAAATTTTCATATTTTTTTAACCAAAAAAAAATGGGATAAAACATTTCATTTTCATATTTAATTATTTTTCTAGTTACTAAATGCATCAAGTTCTCAAACTTTCATAATTTTTTAATATTATGATGCTGTAGAGTTCCATTTAAATGAATTAAAAAATCGGTGGCATCCAGAAATGCTATTAATTTTATTTTGACATTTTGTGGCATTTCGCTATAAACAGCGTTTTGCTTTTCAAATTGTTGCCACCAAATATTATCGCTCAGTATTATATTTAAATAAATTAAATAATGAAAAATCTGTCTAAATGTATGTGTGTATCTCGCACTGTGATAAAACAATGGTACCTAGAGCCATCCAATTTTGAATAATGTACATCTCCACCCAAATATAGCATCTGGAAGCCAAAATTTGGAATTTGTTTTATTATTTATTTCATATTTTTTAACACTTTAGCAAAATTTTGATTAACAAACTCAATGATTTCAAAGTGAACAATGGCAACACTGTACCAAAAAAAGAACATTTTTATCTCCAAGATGCGAGGCTGACTTTTCCTCCTTCAATGCCATTCATTGATAGCGAAAGAAATTTTTGAATGCTAAAAATACATGTTAATAGTCTTATTAAATTATATTACTATAAAATCATAATCATACAAAAAATTCATTAAACTAGAAGTATGTTTAACACTTAATGTATTGTTACGTGCGTAGGGGATCGTAATGAACAGATGTGTGTGTATTTAATTATGGCAAAGCACACTAGGGCTATCTGCCTAAGGGGAGGGATGCCTTCGTGGAGGACTTTCTAAGGGAAACTGGCTCGTATACACGTTACACATGGGGAAAACCACGAAAACACCCATGCAGCCAGCCCGTTCGCGGGATTCGAACCTCGGACCGAACTACCAGTGTTCAGCGACTTTACCGCTCGGCCGCTGGTGGGCCCGTAATGAACAGAACTGATGATACTTAAATAATTAATTAATTATTATATAATTATTATAAATAATAAATTTATTTTCGTAAAAGAAATACTTTACTGATCTGGATCTTTTCACAAATGTACTCACATAACTCTTCTCAATATGTCAGAGCATAAACAGTAGTTATCAATTCAAACTTCAAAGAACTTGAACACAAGACAATATACCAAGCTTCAATGCATAAGCTTGCAGAATGATCTCTCAGTACTCTGAACTTACTTCAATACTGAAGTATTTATGCAGGCATTCTACTGCAACAGCAGTAATTTCCTGCTGTTCAGAATTAATTCCATAATGGGCCTGATTATAAAAATGCCTGAGGGAAGCCTTATATAGATTTTCTCTGTCCGCTGAGAAATTTCCAGTATCTACGAATTCTCGAAATTGCTAGAAAGCAGTTAATGAAGTATTAATAGTTCCATATAAGAATCAGACCATTTACAGCAAATTTGGCAAGTTCTAGCAATTTCTTGCCAAAACCATCACTCCGTTTGGTGATTTACCTCAATGTTAAGCAGATTTGCCCCTGTATCTATTTTTTTACCAAAGTTGCACTCTGTTGAGGCTTTTTGTGTTATGTTATACATGCGATGCCACAATTTTACATATAATTTTACTAAAATTGATGCAAAATTTGTAACAATATGCAAACATTATGAATTGCCTATGTGTCAGTACTGAAGCTTGCCACTGCTTCCTAGAGTACAAATTCTATATGATATTCCAAATAAGATGTCCTCTTTAAAAAAATTTAAGTTCAATATTTTTATGACAATCTGCTTGACATTTAACCTATTAATTCATTTAATATTTACAAACTGATTTTTTTAATTAAAAGATGCCCATACATGAACATTTTGAGTCATTTGAAATATTTTTTGTAATTGGGAGGATGTATCTATGACCAACAGTGGCAAAAATATCTTTTGTAGACATGTTGTACATCATTTTTTTCCCTAACAGATAACATGAATGAGTTTCCAAATTTTTTTAATCATAAAAGAAGTTTTCATCCCTAAGCTAGAGATCAAGTCTCTGAAATTTGTTAGTTGTTGCATCATTTAATAATACATGTCTTTATTATAGGGGATATTTTAGTCATGGACGAAGAAGGTTATCTGTATTTTGTGGATCGTACAGGAGATACTTTTCGATGGCGTGGTGAAAATGTTTCTACTGGTGAAGTGGAAAATGTAATCAGTAAAGCTCTGAACCACGTAGGATGTGTGGTTTATGGTGTAGAAGTACCAAGTAATATTTTTGTTTCCATTTAAAAATATTTGGTGTTATTCTTTAATACATCTGTTTAACTATGTTATCTTGAGAATGCAATGAATTTATGAATCTTATGAATGCAATGCATTCATATGTTGTATAGTTACATATTTCCTGATTAAATCATCTTCTGTTTTAGAAACCTTTGACAAGTTTAAAAGAAAAAAAACTCTGTAGCTGTTTCTTTTGTAGCTAAATAAAATCAATTGCATTAATTGAAAATATATATAAAGTATGCAAACAGCAGGATAAATTTTATGTATAAAAGTATGGATTTTTGAAAGAATTTTGCAGTTGTTTCTAAAATACTCAAGTGTGTAAAAGAAATATCTATTACTGTAAAATATTTGCCATAGTTAAAAAATAGTAGAGTACTAAAATATCATGTGTTTTATCCTAGCTGCAGGGCTTAATTCTTTTATTAGAACCAGAGCCCTATGGAAGACCTTCAGGAAAAAGGCACAAGACTAAATAAATAAATCAAATCATTAATAATTAAAAAATTATATAATTCATTATTAAAATAAATTAAATAATTAATGGTTAAAGTAACTACAGGTAAAAGTCATTAATCCGGACTCGTAGGGACTTCGGCGATTCCGGATTATCGATTTTTCCGGATTATAGATCATCAGTTTAAATCTGGTAAGATGGCATGCAGAAATTATAAAATTATAAATATGAAACCGTAATTTATGAAATAAAGAACAATTATGATCTAAAGGGTATCAAAATTTGCAAAAAAAAAGCTTAATATTTATTTGTTTACTTTACTTTCTTCGCTATCGGAAGCAAATTATAATGACGAGGAATTTGATTTAAATCATATCAAAGACAGAGTACATCGAGATGAAATACTACATTTAGAAGGAATTATAAGCCAAATAAAATAAAAACATCTGCCTTGAAGATAAGGATAGTGCTGACAGATCAACTTCCAATTCATTGCGAGCCGCGGCGTCCCCCCGCCGCAGAGCAGCATGAAATTGATAAACAGATTTCGGAATGGTTAGATAAACAAAGGAAATGCCTTTATCTATTTTTTTGCAGCAATTCCACTTTTTGTTTAATGGACTTCGAAACATACTTTCACTTTGTAGATCCTTTACATATTAGTAAATATATATCGGAAATTCTATTTGACATAATCGAAAGTTCAAGCTTAGTTTCTAAAATTGCTCTAACAGTCTGCAAAAATAATAAGCCGGACCAATTCGAAGATTAAGGAACAACCGCAATCTGCAACATTAACTGAATTAGATAATTTTAGCTTAGCTTATACCATCCATTATACATTAAACGCACATGTGTAAACGTATTTTGGGCCTGCGCACACGCATATTCGCAGTCATAAAGGTCTTACATGCATGCGTGAACTCGACGCATGCGCAGAAAGATTTTAGCTTTGAGATCCGGATTATAGATCATTCCGGATTATGGGTGTCCGAATTAACGATTTTTGACTGTACTAGATAATTAAAATTTAATAAAATGCAAAAATTTAAATTTAGTAAGTGATTTTTAATATAATTTTATTACTAAAAATAAAATTTTTGAAATCAAATTTCTACTGAAATTGTTGTTCAGTTATGCAAAAGAAGTCCTGGAGTCTGACAAAAGAGTCTTCTTATTTAAGGCTGTGGTGCATTCCAGCTAGAATTGTGAATTATCCCCAAAACTAAGAAGTTACATTTTTAGAACTAAAAGTTACACCATTGAATGCACTAAGAAGCAAAAAAAAAGTTAATTTTTTAGCTAGTGCAATATTCTTGGTCTGTGTGACTAATAAAAAATCCTAAAGCTGCTAACAATGACAAATTTTAATCAAAATTGTTTTTTTTTTTTTTTTTTTTTTTTCTTTTTCTTTTTAAAGTGAATTAAATACTTTAAAAAAAAAAACTATTTTGCCTTAAAATTTTGTTATTGTTCCAACATAGCTCTTGGGTTGGCACTTGACGATGTTATTTTTAATGAAGAAATACGAAAAGTAGAGTTACAGTTTTGTAGTCAACCCACTACACCAGAAGTTGATGTGAAGTTGAAGTTGAAACTTATTTTATTTATGAAACTCATGGGATAAAGTAATAAAGAAATTTATATAAAATGGCTTTTTAAATTATTAACTCAAAACTACATTCAACAGTGTTATTTATAAAATAGATGGTAGATAAAAGGTCTCATTCTTCGCCTATTGTCGCAACAACATCTGTTTATGAGGAGCGCAATTTTATCGCATTTGAAAACCCCTTTTCAAGGTGATTACTACTGATATTTTAACCAGCATCAGTACTACCACTACGCATTTAAAAATAAAATTTCATACCTGAAGTACCTTAAACAAAATTAATGAAAAAATTGCTGACTTATATTTCATTTTCTGTTTTTTTATTATGAATAGATAAGGTGCTTTAGATACAGAAAACTAAAATAACATGCGAAATGGGTTCCACTTAATGACGAGGCCCATTCTCCATAGGTCCTGTCATAAATTTATTCCGACGTGCTAAGTCAGTTACTTAGTCTTGATAATATTTTTATAAATTAGACTTTTATTTAATATAACATGCACTGTTGTTTTTTTTTTTTTTTTTTTTTTTTTTTTTTTTTTTTTTGTGTGTGTGTGTGTGTGTGTGTGTGTGTGTATACACAACATTTTACTAAATCAGCACATAACCTTTTTAAAATTAATTAGCGTAAATAAAAGAAATATAAACGATATCTTTAACAAAAAAAATGACAGATGAGTAATTGTTACTCATTTGGATGATTCATTGCAACTCATAATAGTTTTTTTTATCAGAAATTCTGTTTACCCGTGTGGTTCAGTCAGAAATGTCTTCCCCCCGCTGCTTTGTTTTACAACAACATTCGACTGCTTCTCAAATTTGCTTTTTAACTTTAGCAAATTATTTTTGTCCGATGATTTCTCTTCTTCCTTGTTATTCCTTTCTTCGTCTACAACTATTTTATTTCGGAAATTAATCTAATCATTATATGTGCATCTTCTTTGTGATACAACTAATTAATTTGCATCTTCCATACGATGCATAGATCTGGTGTGCATGCTACCTCAACCATTTCTTCTCAAAAAAGAAATTTTCTTCTAATAGATTATTCTTATCATAACTTGTTAAAACTGACTAACATCATATTTTTTCCAAAACGTCGGAGAATCTTCACCACGCCTTTTTTCAAATTTCCACAGTATTTTATTACTTACCACAACAAGCAAATAATGAAAACTTAATAACACAGGCAAAGGTAATATTGTGTACTCTGTAGGCACGGCGACGTTTGAACGTTCATGCTGCTTTGTGGCTCAACTGGCATATAGTTTTCTTTGGAATTAAACTAAATAAGTTCATCATTAGTAAACTCCATGAATAGCATCCATGAGCTTGGCAAAAAAAGAAGAAAAAAAAAAAAAAAAAAAAAGATCCTAGAATTGAAGCCAGGCATAGATTTTTCTTCTTTGGCATTCTCCCAGGGTTCGTACGGTCCTTAAGAGTCCTTAAAAATCCTTAAATTTTTTTTAATTGATTTTTGGCCCTTAAAGTCTTTAATTTTGGTCAAAATCAGTTGAAAGTCCTTAATTTTAAAAAAATCAGCAGAAGGTCTGAATTTTAATTGTGAAATTCTGTTTTTTTACGACTGCCATTTTGAGTGTGAATTAGCATTTTTGGAGGAAAAAAAATTTTTGGTTGATTTCACTGACATATATGGTTATCTTTTGAATGGGTTCTATGGGTTATAATTTATTTTCTATTTCTAATATAAATGATGGGATACTCGAGTTTTCTAAGCAAGAAGTGAAAAATAAGCATTTCAAAATTCATTTTTTCTAATAAAGAGCTCTTGAAACAACTTTTGCTTTTGGGGTTGTGAATTCTTTTATTAACGGTTTCTAAATTTGACAACTTGTCAATATTTTGGCATTTTAAGATCAGTTTCTGTAGAAAATTTTTAATTCCGAGGTCTGAGAATTTTTTTGCATTTTTTTAAACTACATCATAACATTGATAAATTTCATTAAAATAATGGTAATATGTTAGAATTATATTTAAAAAATAACATTAAAAAACATTTTTATTTTTTGCTGTCATATTATAAAGTTTCATTTTGTTAACTTATTATACAATATTTTGAATCTGAAAAATAAACAAAGTATAATGCTATAAAGAATTTACGAAACAGCTCTTAGTAAAAGCAAAATTAGTTATGTAATTAATTAAAAATGTCTTCTTTTTAATTTTTTCATAGTAAGCGTTTATCCCATGTTATTCTCTCGGATTATTCGAAATTCTCAGAATATGCATCAGTTTTCTCTATAAAATTAATTTTACACTTTTTCCTTCCCTTTTTTTCCAAAATATTTCTGGCTTTTTGCTGTTACAGAATTGGTTGGGATAATTTTTCTTTAGTATTTTAGACATTGCAGCATGGAAAGTTTAGAAGAATTTGAACGCAAGATTTATAGACTCACTATTCTAGAAGATTCGAGAAATATGTGACAAAATGAAAAATGTCTCCATGGTATCAACACGTAATGGATGTATTTTACAGAAAGTTTGCGATGAATTTCTTACTTTTTGGAGAACGTGCCTGGAAGAACAATGAAGACATGAACATAATATTTGAGTGTTTTTACTTCCTGATACTAGAATCGTTTTTCTTAACATGTTTATCTTCCCTTTATTTTCTCTACTTTTCACTAAACACAAGCATGGAAAATATCAAAAATGCTTCTAATCTTATCACTTGGGCAAGCATTATAGAAAGAAGTTTTTTTATTAATAAAGAAATTGAAAACTTACAATTTAAAAGATTCATCTAATATGTCTAAATGCATCGTACACAGAGCTGGTGCTAGGCATTTTCCCATCTGATGCGCTCTCTGTGGATCCTAAATTCTGCTGCCTAGTGCTTTTCTAAATTCTGCTTCCAATGCCTGCTCTAAATTCTAAAAGTTTTGCCATTTCTAGATTTTGTTGTTCTGTGTGTCGCTAAATTCTAAAAATTCTGCCACACCAACTCTGTAACCGGCCTATACCATATATATTTCATATTTCTTCTGAATGTTCATATTACTAAAGAAATAAAATTAGCCACTTTTTTAGAATAACAGAAATCCATAATTAAATCCAAAAATTCTAAAATTAAAAGGAAACATGTTGAAGAAAGAAACTGAACACATAAAGAAAATTATTCTTCAAAGATATGTGCAGTTATTATTATGTAAATTACCCAATTGTTTATGATTTCAGCCTTTACTATAACTTCCCATTTCTGTTTCTTCATATGATAGAGTTACTGAGCCAGATTAAATTAAAATTAAATTGTATAATCTTTGACCACTAGTATACATTTTTAGTTTGAATTTGACTGTTCTTGTTTAATTACGTCACCGTGAGCTGTAATTGACTTTATTGCATCAGAACATGCCTTTATGTTCTAAGTTCTTCTAAATAAGAGGATTATTTAAACCTTTGTCTGATATTGTAGTTACTTTCAGACACAGTGATAATTTGCTTCACGTCTGTTGGGGGAGGGGGGTTGGGACTATTTAACTTTTACCAGATCAAGTAACCCTCATACGTACATTGTGGAGAGGTTGACAAGCTAGGAAATAAAGCACACAGAAACTAGTGAGAACACTGGTTTACATATTGAGAAAATTTTTAAATTATTGCCAGAAAAGATGCTTAAAGAGAAGGAAATCAATAGAAACTAGCCAAAATGTTTGGAAAGGCTTGTAGAGACATTAGGTATTTTTGAAAGCAGGAAAGATAAAACTTAACAACACCTTCGCCGGGAATCGAATCACGGACCCCTGGAATACTGGCCCAGTGTGCAAACCACTGCACCACGAAGGCTCGCCAAGAAGGTGGGTGAAATACTGCCCCTTTTAAAGGGCGACTGGGGTTTTTAGGGGATCCAATTGCCAAATCCTGGTGTGGAGAACCATCATCCAACACCCTTTTAGTTCAGGCGCCACTGTAGAGACATTAGGTATTTTTGAAAGCAGGAAAGATGAAAAATTAACAATGCCTTCGCCAGGAATCGAACTGCTGACCTCTGGAATACCGGCTGAATGTGCAAACCACTGCATGAAGGCTCACCAAGAAGGTGGGAGAAATACCTTATAGGCTTTAAATTAAAATGATGGATAAATATTTTGTTCAGTATTGTTGTTACAAAACATAAATGTTTTGCAGCTTTTAATGTGTAATTATCCTAATATTGCTTAAGAATCAGTGTCATAAATTACATGCATTTTATACTGCAAAATTTTATTAGATTTTGATTTTAATAGGGCCTTTTTTTTAACAAATATTGTTAAAAAAATAAAATTTAATACTGGCCATGTAAATCCATAATGATTAAGGTTATCTAATTAGCTAATTTAATTGTTTATAACTAACTACTTACCCTTAAAAATTATCTCTTCATATTAAAGCGAGTTATTGCCTTTCATTAATACTCACTGTGGTCAATAGATAAAAAACAAAAATGTAAAAATTCAAGTAAAACTTATTCTTTGCATCTATTGAGACTTCAAATAATATATGTATAAAACAACTTGTCACCTTTGGTGCTTTAATGGCTTATTAGAACCTTAAAGTATATTAACTGAGTTACAACCCCTGGAACTCTACATAAAGCTATGACATTAACTGCATTAAGCAGAGCCTGATTAACTTTCAACACTTGCCAACCGTGCCTACATCAGGCTTTTCAGGTTTGTTCCAATCAGCAGGTCTCTTTCTAGACAAGCGGCAAAGGGACATTCAGTCAGTTGTTGTGAATCATGCTGATTATAATCTTACTTCTCATTTTAACTTAATGCCATTTGACATAAAATCTTCCTGCTATTTACTAAACCTGTAGACTGACCAAGTATGTGACAAAATGAGACATAAAAAAAAAAAAAAAAAAAAAATCAACATAAAGCTAACTATTAGTAAAACGTAAATGTCACTTATCTTCTTTCAAATATATCCAACTATTATAAGTGTAAAATATTTAATGCTACTTGATAAACTGCATGAAGTTTATTTTATTCTCAAACTTACTAATAATTATGTTAATTAATTCATGGTTAGTAATAATGCATACTACTCACGTTCAGGCATAGGTATAATATTTTTAATTGAATTTATTCAGTTCCCACTTGCTCATAGGTCCTTAATTTTTTTCATTAATGGTCCTTAAAAGTACTTAATTTCCTTGTGCAGAAATATGTACGAACCCTGTTGCAGTATGTGACAGTAAATAATTTTTTTGCCTTTGTAGGTAAAAAACATACTTCTGGAAACTTTTTAATTTGTTGTCTGAATCTTTCGGATCTATTCTATATCTGTCATGCCCTCCTTCTTTTGTAAATTTTTATTTAAAGTCTAGCCTTCTTCTGAGTAATCAGAAAACTTAATGGTATCCATTTCTTTGTCATATTCTCAGTTCAATAAGACAACATTTTCACCATCTTTGAAACCATATCCAGCTTCTTATTAGTAATGATTGTGCCCTGCAACATTATCATGCCTTTTATACTTTCAACAATGTGAACTTTATGCTTAATATAGCCACTGCCAAAGCAGACCGAAATTATTTGCCCATCTCGATAATTTAAATTTTTTTTTAAAGTTATTGGTCATTTTTTAGGTTTAGACTACCAGCACATTCAGTTTGTGTTTCAGATCTATAAAAAAAAAAAAAAAGAAAAAAGAAAAAAAAAAAAAAAAAGAACTTCAAACACTTATGTTATTGAACTAAATGTGTGATATTTGTTTCGATGGAAAATGGTGTGGGTCCAGAAAAAGAAGATATGGAGTCTTTATTTCTGATTAGTGTGTTCAGTTTGAATATTCCATTTTTTGCGCACTTATACGTAACTGTGAAATTACACAAGTCGAGTGTTACGTAAGTTGGATGATAATTGTAATATAAATTTGGTGACAATTAATAAAATCGATAATTAGTAAAATATATTAGCTAAGTTCAATATTGAAAGAGAAAAAACATGTCTCCAATAATGTCCAAATATCGCCAACAATCATCAAAACCTTTTTCATACCCTGAAATGAAGATTAATCTAGATTATTAAAGAAACACTCAAAAATATTATTTAGATTATATCTCTGAGTGCAAATTAGAAATTTATAGTGTACTTTTAAATTTCGATACTGCCTCATTAACAAGACAGAAAGACATTAATAATGTAATGTAATATACAAGTGTGCTGCTCCTGACCGATAATAATCGGCCTTATGGTTAACACAGCATACCCAACACAGACAAACAAAAATACAGTTAAAAGATTAAAACAGAAATACAGTCAAAAACTATCAAATCAAAATCCCCAGTATTGTTCTATTGCCATTTAAAAGTTCACCAAATCCTCATTTATATTCATTTCATCATCATTTACAAAGTTCATCAAAGACATTAGTGTTAAACTGTAAAAATATTATCAAATGGGGTTTCTTAAGCAAAGAAAAGCTATGTGTTGTTATAACGATTTTCAGTGTTAAACAATGGCTGTGGGGGCATAATATTTTGGTGTCTTTGTAAAATGGCTTAGCTAATTGATACTTACCTAAATTTGTGCAGTGAAAAGCTGTAGAGTCATTCTGTTATATCGATAAAGGAATATGAAAAATGTGCAGTGCCCTCGCCATCATTCAAACTTCAGACTTCCCAAATACACATCAAGCGTTCTTCCATTTGCACCATGAAGACATGCAGAAAGGAGTAAGAAAATACCTGTATAATCCCCCTTTTAAACCGTGACTGGGAATGAGGGGACCCAGTCGCCAATTCTTCGTGGTGACGAATTATCATCCACCACATTTTTAATTCAGTCGCCACTGTAGAGTCTTTTTTTTTTTTTTAAGAATTTTTCGAAGCAAAGAAACTGAAGAAATCTGCATTGCTTTCACCAGGATTTGAACTCACGATTGTGTCGAATGCGCTTCCAATTGCACAACGAAGGTATATAAAAAGGAGTGAGAAAATACCTTATAAAATGGATATATATACTATAATATTATTTGTACTAATTTGTGAAAAGCAAAATTTTATTTATTAATATAAAAGAGGGGGGAAAGAACGAAAAGTAGAAATAAATGTATAAATAAAAGAAACTAAAGAAACAAAAGTGAATTTATAACTGAAGCAGTGACGGGTTTTAATTCAGATAATAGTTGAGTATTTTTTTCTCATCTGTGAATAATCTCTTAAATCTCTCATCACTTAAAAATTAATATTTTTTTTTCAGATGTTGAAGGCCGTGCTGGCATGGCAGCTATTCAGATTGACTTAAAAGACATTGATCTGGATGCTCTTTACCAACACATTGGTAAATCTTTACCATCATATGCTGTGCCTCTCTTCATCCGAATCTGCAGTAATTTAGAAACCACAGGTAGATATAGTCAATTTGCATTTGAAATAAATTACACGATTTATATACATTTAAACAGTTTTCCAAAAAAAAAGAGAGAGAGCTGTACTCTTTTGATCCTGAAATCAACGAGTGGTTTAATATTATTAATCACGGTCTTTAAAGGAACACTTAAGGTAAGGTAATTCATATGAAAATTACCTTATGAAAGCATACATATGCAGCATTCAGGAACTAGAAAAGTTTCTGAATGGTGCACATGTATATTTTAATTCCTTTCATCATATGCATTCATTTTGTAATTCTTTTCATCGTATGTATTCATAATAATGATGTATGAATGCACATGATGAAAATTTTGAACCAACATTCTGAATTGCATATAGAATTAATAATATTTATTATATAATTTCCATAATAATTACTGAAACTAAAATTAATGCACTTGCTTGGCAAATAATATAAAAAATATTGCTAACTGATGTGTTGCAAAACGTAAACTTTACCTTTTTGTCTCCAAATAACAAAAGAAATGTATATTAAAATTTTGATTATATTGAGCTGCGTCAATTGGCATTAAAACTTTCCGTAGATGAACTATGTAAAATTAATGTTAACTTTTCTCCAGAAGTAGAATTCTTTAAACTTGAGAAATTCAGTTTTTAAAAAATTCATATATCTCCATAGTATTTTTTTTCTTTTATAAAAATAATATTGTATGCATGAAAGAGTTCTGAAAAAGAACCACCTTTTATTCTGTAAAACTCTACTTTTCGGAAACTTGGCGGTTTCTCAGTCCACATTATGTCGAGTTCGCAGGACTCTACTGTATTATCTCTAAGAACATTCACTGCAAAGGGACTCTATGTGATCTTCTCGAAGGAAACACTCCGTATCAGTTAGTCATCTGTTTTTTTTTTTTTTTTTTTTTTTTTTTTTTTTTACTAGGTTTAGAAAAGCTTCAATTGGATTCAAGGAATTCTTAGAGAATCAAGAACGTTCTCAAGTATACAATTCCAAGGAATTGGACAAACATTGTCTGGAGGAGAAGCGAAGTTCAACTTACGAATTTTCGCATTAAAAATGGAATTTTTAAATTTATTTTTTCCTACATTTTTAGTCCAAAGGAGCTTTGTCCCTAAAGAGACTAATATTTTAGTTTTGGCATTTTGCATTGAAATCTTTAAAAGGCTGTATTACTTTTCAAACTGTTGTCACAAAATGTTGTTGCTCTGTATTATATTTGAAGAAATTAAATAATGAAGAATCTGCATAAATGTATATATGTTTCTCGCATTGTGATAAAACGACGGTACCTAGATCCATATAATTTTGAATGACATAATCTTACTGAAAATATGGGCATTTGGAATTTTTTTGATTACCGATTTCATATTTTGTAAAATTTTAACAAATTTCTGATTAACAAGCTCAAGGATTTCAAAGCGAGTAATGGCAATGTTGTTACAGAAAAAACATTTTTATCTCCAGTGCGTGAAACTGTGTATCGGAAATTCTAAAGATATGCTCAATTTAGAATTATTTTGTGATATTGCTGTTGAATTGAATTTTATGGTTTAAGTGTGAAGAACATGATATTTAATAAATAAAGGTAACACACAAAATGTTAAAAAAGAAATCTCTTTGGGCGTAATATAAAATCTTTTGTGTGTGTGTGTGTGTGTGTGCATGTGCATGCATGCGTGTGCGTGTGCATGCATGTGTGTATGTAAAGAATTGCATTTTAATTCAAACAATGAAAACGTAGTTGACATGAGAAAAATATTGCAATTCATTAAAAATGGTTACAACTACTGAAAACAAAAATATGTTAAGTTCGCCTCCTTGTTGCCCTAAATGATGTATACAAGGTGTGTTTGAAAAGTTCAGTGAATTTTACCATAAAAAAAGGGAAACAAGCAAAATAGCTTTACTGGCCTTCAAAGTATTTGCCATTAGCAACAATACACTTTTGACATCGGTGTACAATTGTTGGAAACTGTCTGCAAACGCTTCTTTCGGTATGGCTCAAAGCACCATTGTCACATGTGTTGGATCTCAGTAATGTCGGAAAAGTGTTGGCCTTTCAGAACTCCTTTGAGGTGGGGAAACAGGAAGAAGTCCCACGGGAGCCAGATCTGGAGAATATGGAGGGTGATCCAAAACTGGAACCTAGTGCCTGTCGAGGAATTGGGTTACACAGATCGCAGTGTGCAGCCGGGCATTGTCATGGAGCAGATTTCCTGACCGTAAACTTTCACTAAACTGTCATGTGTCTCCGTCGCCGTTTTGTCTAACTTGAAGCAAAACTTTATGTTTATGCATTGCTCCTTGTCACACTGACTGTGTTAAACTGCTCATAGCATGCGCTTTCTCTTATCTGTCATAAAATGGCCTTTAGATGTCTCTAGATGACATTTCTCTCACTGTGTCTGCGTGAGTGCAAGATCCTAACCGGCGCAGTTTTTTTTTTAATTATGAGACCAATCACCAAACTTTTCAAACACACCTTGTATTTAAAAGTGCCCATTCATTTTATAGCTGTATTACAGTTTTATTTTTTAAATAAAAGCTGAAGGTGAAATGCCAGTCTGATATATCTAGTTAAGCACTGTCTAGATGGTATAGTGGTTAGGGGAGCCGACTATGATATGGAAGGGCCCGTGTTCAAATACCGCAGAAGGCGTGTTTGTAACTGTCTGTCCCTTCATAGGAGGTAACAGTGGCCACCTATTAGGTGCTTCCACACTAAAATGGCCACCACTTCTAGCCTTAGGAGTGGCCAATGTCAAAAAAAGACAAAATAGTGTCCACTGTTCGAAAAAATATCTAGCTAAATGAGAAGACTAATAATTCTTACTTTTCATTATATAATAGGGTGGCAAATAATGGATCTCCCGAATTTAATTAACAACATAAAGATGGTGAGTGCTTGTAGTATATGATTGTGAAATTATAAGTTATTTTTTCTCTCCTTTCAGCATGCCTTCATGGTGTAATGATAGCGTAATTGCAGGTATTTGAAAGGTCCAGGTTCGAGTCCTGGTAAAGGCATTGCATATTCCTTACATCTTCTGTTTTTTTTTAAAAAATCTAATCTACAGTGGCGCCCAAATTAAAAATTGGTGGTTAATAATTCTTCACCAAAAGGATTTGAAAGTTGGGTCCCGTAATCCCCAGTCTTCCTTTAAAAGTGTGAGTATATAAGGTATTTTCTCTCTGCCTCCAGCATGCCTAAGTGATGTAACAGTAGCATACTTAGCACATATTTGAGAGATCCAGGTTGGAATCCCGGCGAGGGCATTGCTCACTTTTCACGTCTCCAGCATAAAATAAACCTAATAACTCTACGAAATAACAGTATACACAGCAGCGTATAATACAGGCATTGTTGCACCTTCAAAATGGTGTTTCCTAACTATCCTCATTCTACTTGGTACACTGTGGAAGACGATGTGGTCTTCTGTGATACATCTCACCTTGTCCTATGGAGTAGTGTCGAAATAGAATCATAGTTTTGTTTTCCGTTGCATGTCCCTGTTTAAATCCCTGCTCACAATTCTGCCAGTGTGAATTGTTTCACTGCAGTAACCATCGAGCATCTGTGAAAGAGCCTAATTAAGGCTTTCATTGTCGCAGTTTGCAGCTGCATCAGCTACAATTTATGTTACAATAATTGTGTGTCTGTTAGTTCTCAACTGCTATAGGTATGTCACACATGTTTGTATGCACTCCAGCAGTGTTAATAACTCAAATTGATAGATCCTATATGCACCGCTTTACATATAGCTAGAATTATAGGGTGATTTTAAATTCAATTTGCATACTGGCTTTCAATTTTAGCTGACATTTTGCAGCAAAATCTTACTTCTTGTTTTATATTAGGAAATATACACTCTATTTTGTTTAAAAGTGCAATTATCTTAAAATTTCTTATATAAAAATTAGACAATTTTTGAAGGAAGTTTTAAATTTATTGAATGGGTAAATGCAAAAAATATTTCATTTCCTTTTTTTTAAGTCATTTTTAGTCACCTCCAAACTGCTTTTATATTTCTGTACCAACAGTCACAGGTCAATAATCTTCTCTTTTATTTCCTTTGTATGTTATTAACTAAAAATATTGATACCAAAGTGGATGTTTCAGAAAAGACGGTACTTTTTTAAACTTTATTGTAGGTAGGTACTATAAAGAGCAGAAAATGGCTGAAACTGAAGTACAGTAAGGAATAGTAGTAAATGGCTGCTTATTGTACCTTATACTTAGGTACAATAAGGAGTAGAAAAGGGCTGAAAGTAAAATTAATGTCTGAAATTTCATCAGAAAAGTTGATTAATTAAATAAGAATGGATTTTGAAAGAAAATACTACTTTAAAGTATGATGTACCTTAAAACATACATCTAATAATATTTGATAATCTGTGTAGTCAGAGCTTAATTTCTAAAATTAGAAGTGCCATAGCCATATGGAAGACTGTCAGCAAAGAGGAACAAGAGTAAATAAATAAATAAAATGACTATTAAACTCATTAATAATTTTAAAATTAAATAGTTACTTATTATCAAATTAATTAATAGTTATTCAGTTAATGTTGATAAATTGCTATTTAATCAATAATTATTGTATAATTAATTAAATATTATTTATTGAAATAATTAAAGATTAAAGTAATTAAAATAAATAAAATGTAGAGATAAATTAAAATTTAATAAGCAATTTTTAAAAATTTCTACTAAAATTGTTATTCAGTTACATAAAAGAAGTGCCGCAGCCTTCTTATTCAGGGCTCTGGTGTGCTCCGGCTAGAATTATAATTTATTACAAAAGCTAAGAAGCACCGGAGCCAGGATCCGGTGAGTTCCAGCCCAATTTAAGCTCTGATCATAGGGGGAAAAAAGCTCTTTTTATCATCACAAAAATTAAACATGCTTAAAATATAGCTGATGAAAATTCAGATAATGCTAAAAACAGGGCGAAACAGAATGAGGGCGTGAGAGTATGAGTGGGTGGAATAAAAAAAAATGAGGAAAATCTTGGTGAGAGAGAACATTCTCTTTGATCGCAGCTCTCTGCTGATATAATTATAGCCATCAAGCACATGTGTGTCAGTGGTAAAATGAGTCCTGGATCTGACTTCTAAGGATGAATGTAAAGTTGCTGGTTACGCTTTTCACCCCCGTATTTGGTTACATTAGTGGATACTGTGGGAAGACGATGTATAGGAAATGCTTGAGCAGTTTATCTCAGTATTTCACTCTTATTATGCTCGCTGTCACTTAACGCACATTTAAGAAGACAAATTTTCCTTCCTGTGAGGATAACTAACTGTAACCATCGATAACAATACACTAGATACAATGGCATGGCGAGAAATTTACGTGTTCTTAAACAAACTCCCCCAAATTTGTTGCCTTCTTAAAGGGAAAAGTTTCCGCATGTGAGTGAGGGGACTTCTCCTGAGTTTATATTTCTAGGGTAATAGAGTATTGCAAAGTCTGCTTATTGTTAAACTAAAATTTTAGGAATTCTAAATTTTTTCCCTTGAAATTGTGGTTCAGGTTTATAAAAAGAAGTACCGGAGCTCATCTTATCTAGAGCTCGCGCAATTTAAGCACTGTGTGTATTCTAAAGCTAAAGTGAAAGTAGATCAATAGGCAAACTTTTCTGGTTTAGAATAATCAGTAATTAAATTAATATGAAGTGGTTGTAATTAGAATATTCCTTTCTCTGGCCTTCTTATTATTCTAAAATTTACATTTTGAAATGATATTAATTTATCAAAAATTAAGTTATTCCAAAAAGTGTACATTTTTCAGTTTTATATTATACATTTAATAAGTAATAATATTTATACCTTAAAATTTATTGCCTGGTACATCTGACTTATTTACCGTTTTAAAAATTTGCTTTTTAAACTCACTAAGCACAGAATTACTGTTTGTTTATAAAAGAACATTTCCACAAAGATTTTTTACAAATAAAATATGTATCCATATACAGAGGCAGATAACTTTGCTGGACAGTAAAGTCCATCATAAGAGCTTGTATTCAGTAATTTTACTGAGTTTTAAATATAAAATATTATGTGTCTGAAATCATTTATAATAACTCTTATGTTTATTTATTAGGCACTTATAAGCTCAGAAAAGTGACTCTTCAGAAGGATGGTTTCAATCCAGAAAAAATAGCTGATCCACTGTTTTTCTTCAATAAAAAGACTTGCGTACCACTAACAAAGGAAGTGTATTTAGATATTATCACTGGAAAAATAAAGCTGTGATATTAAATTCAAGACTTTAGATGATTCATAAGTTCACATTAGTTATCATATGTAGACTTTTACATTTTCATAAATAAAAGGAAATTATATAAAAATATGGTGTTTTTATTTATGAAGCAAATATAAGAATGACCTCAAAAAGGATTCTTGAAAAGCTAAAGCCTAAATAATTGCTAGAGATGTTTCTAAAAATTTCTGATGTCATTTAAAATCTCTACAAAATAAGTAAATGGTGAAATAATTAACACCATTGTAATTATAAATTTTAATTTTCAGTAATAAATGCAGAAGCAGGCTAATTATATAAACGAGATGTTATGTATATAACAAGAATTCAGCCGTCCATGGACCTTTAATACTCTTAAAGATCCATTTGATGATCTAAATACACTGAAGTGACAAAAGTCATGGGATAGCAATATGCAAATATACAGATGGCAGTAGTATCGCGTAGAAAATGTATAAATGCGAAGGCTTTGGCAGGGCTTTCATTTGTGTTCAAGTTATTCATGTGAAGAGGCTTTGACGTGATTATGGCCGCATGACGAGAATTAAGACTTTGAACGCGGAATGGTAGTTGGAGCTAGACGCATGGGTCATTCCATTTCGGATATCGTTAGGGAATTCAACATTCCGAGATCCACATGTCAAGAGTGTGCCGAGAGTATCTAATTTCAGGCATAACATCCCACCATGGACAGCGCAGTGGCCGACCACCTGCACTTAACGACCAAGACCAGTGACGTCTGCGTAGAGTTGTCAATGTTCACAGACAAGCAACACTGCGTCAAATAACCGCAGAAATCAATGTGGGACGTGTCCGATCGACAGTGACAGGCGCGCGAAATTTGTCTTCCTTGGGCTATGCCAGCAGAAGACGGACTCGAGTGCCTTTACTGACAGCACGACATCGCCTGCAGCGACTCTCGTGGGCTCGTGAGCATATCGGTTGGTCCCTAAACAAATGGAAAACTGTGGCTTGGTCAGATGAGTCACGATTTCAGTTGGTAAGAGCTGATGGTAGGGTTCGAGTGTGGCGCAGACCCCACGAAGCCATGGACCCAAGTTGTCAACAAGGCACTGTTCAAGCTGGTAGTGGTTCCATAATGGTCTGGGCTCTTTTTACATTTCATGGACTCGGTCCTCTGGTGCAACTGACCGATCATTGACTGGAAATGGATACCTTCAGCTACTTGGAGATCACTTACAGCCATTCATGGACTTCACGTACTCAAACAACGATGGGATTTTTATGGATGACAATTCGCCATGTCACCGGGCCACAATTGTTTGTGATTGGTTAGAAGAACATTCTGGACAATTCCAGCGAATATTCTGGCCACTTAGATGATTCCGACATGAATCCCATCGAACATTTATGGGACATCATCGAGAGGTCAGTTCGTGTCCAATACCCTGCACCGTCAACACTTTCACAATTATGGACGTCTATAGAGGGAGCATGGCTCAATATTCCTGCAGGGGACTTTCAACGACTTGTTGAGTCCATGCCATGTCGAGTTGCTGCACTTCGCCGGGCAAAAGGAGGACCGACAAAATATTAGGAGGTATCCCATGACTTTTGTCACTTCAGTGTATGTGTGATTAAATTGTGATCAGGTAGTCATACATCTGTTGTTAAATTCAACGAATATATAAACTGATCCTTTTTTGATAATAAGAGTACAAACTTCATATTTAGAATAAAAATTTTGGAAATATTGTGTTGGCTCGACTACAAAACTGCCTCATATTTAAAGGTGTCCACCAAAAACATCATGGACGAAACTGTCGCGGAGAAGAAAACGTCGTGGCACAAAACATCATGGGAGAAAATAAAGCAAAGAGAAAACATCGCAGTTCTAAAATATCGTCGTCGAAAATAAAACGGTTCAAAAACTTCACAGTTTAAAAACATCATCGTCGAAAATATCGTGGTAAAAAAATACAGTACAGTAAGACCCCGCTTAACGCGGGGGATACGTTCCATCAAAGTAGAGCGTAATGCGAAACACCGCTAAACGAGGCCATCTTTACATGTAAATATTGGGGTTAGGGGAAGATGGCTAGGAAATTGGTTAGGTATTAAATTTAAAAAGTATGTTTTTTTAATAAAAAATAAAACCAAGCATTTATTTCTTAAAGCCCAAATTAATACCACATTATTATTTCTTGCAAAAATAAAAAACAAAATATAAATAACAAAACGAATATATTCTTAAAAAAAAAACAAATAAAAAATTCTCAGTCAGTCATATTTAGTTAGCCTTCTGCGTTTTCAGTGTTCTGCCTTTTTGTGACAAAAGCATCTAATGTTGTTTGCCTTTTTCTTTTGCGTTGTTCTCTTAAAAGTTCTTCATAAACGGATAGAGCATCTCTAACACCACGCCTTACTTTTGAGCTCCTGTCAAAATTTGGATCATTTTCAATGAATTGATCCATTATTTCAGTTATGGTAGACAAACTCCTTTTTACAAACGCCATCGAAAGTTCTTTTTGCTGTTCTTCTGAATCACTGCTGTCTGTCAACATTTTTGTTTTCTTCTTGTTCAGTTAATTCCTTGAGCTCATCATTAGAAAGACTAGCCGCTGCTTCTTGAATTATTTCTTCGACATCTTCCACATTTACCCCTTCAAAATATGTCTGTACAATACCGCACCAAACAAGAAATACAAGTACACTCTTTCGGATATGTATTTGAAACCTATCGCTGCATAATATTTCGGGGAATCCCCGTATGCTGCGAGCGATTTCGTGGAATCCCCGAGTTGAAATAAAAGAGCGCTAAACCGAAACAGCGTTAAGCGGGGTCTTACTGTACCTACAATTCATCACATGACAATAACATCGCAGACATGCATTTATAATTCAGACTTTAATAATTGTGAAAGGATACTCGCATACTGATTTGTGAGCGCAAGATGGAAAGAAGGATAATTTTTACTTTTACATTTTATTATTAACTAATAAATATTTGCTGAAAATGTCAAATGAAAACTTAAGCACTGAAAATTAATGCAACTTATAAGCACTTAATAGAATTTTAAACTGACATAGTTAACTAACAGAAGTGATTAATAATTTTTTTTGTAAAATTTGTCAGGAAAAGTATAATCTAAAAAATTGCATTGTTTTCTCCGCGACGTTTTCGTCCGCAATGTTTTTTGGCTGTAACCTATTTAAATTGACCTTTCTTTTGCGAAGGGCTCTTAGGATTTAACGTAGATCAGTGTGATATTTTGAAGGTTTTTCTATATGAACGAAAAGTAAATCGTCTGACTACCATACTTTAAGAGAGGGCCAGCATTAGCCAATACCTCTTAATAGAAGAAGGGGGTTAAGAAGCATTGCATTAGCATGTTTGGCACTCTGGTGGAGAATTTTTTCAGCACTTTTTTAAAAGTAAAATTAGGGAGATCATGATAAAATTTTTCTCAAAAAATATATTAATAATTGTATAACACGACAATAAAAATAGTCTAATTTTTATCCTCGTGGTTCTGATGAAGTTTTGTTGCCTGATCCTAATTTATAAACTTATTAAATAGAAAAAAAGTTTAATTACTTTAACTTGCAAAAAATATATGTATGGTAGCAGTTTTAAATCAGTTTTAATTAATTATTAAAATTTAATTTTGTTAGTTTTTTTTAACCCCAAAAAGCTTTTATTAAAGGGAAAAAAATTCTCATCTTAAACATTTATTGAGAGAGAGAACGAGCTTGGCTTCTCGAAAATTGTCATAGTTCTCCCTTTGTGTAATGTGAATACGATCCAGTTTCTTTTAAAAGCTACTCCACGAAGGCATCCCTTCCCACAGGCAGATAATGCTCATATGTTTTTTCCATAAGCCAAATAACCTAAGCTTCTTATTGAAAAAGTCAACAGTTCACTCAATCTTGCTTATAACATAGTCTATTTCAGACACTTTTTTATTAATTTAAATTTAGAGAAACTACATTCTCCACTTCCTACAGTGAGTATTGTGCGCAATGCCATCCATACATTTCTTGAATATAATGCACTTTAAAAAATGTAATGCCGAAACTAGTGTTATATCATCTTTGCCACAAATTAAGAAATTTTTCCGCAATAAATTTCTTTCGATATCTTATGTTACAGTTAGTTTTACCTGTAAGCCTTCAAAATCTTTAATGGCTTCCTCTTTTAGGGGTATAATTTTTTAAATCGCATAAATAATTCCGTTTAATAGTAAATTAGTTTAATTGCTTAAATTTTACGTACATTAGATCAGTATCCAATAATGTGTTATTATTATTGTTGTATGTTCTTTAGCTTTAGCAGTACCTTTTTCATGAGATCGAGGTCTCATACATCTTATTCACTTTGATACTTTATACTGTAAGGTAAAATATGCAAGCAAAATAAGTCTGTTGCTGCTGTAACAAGCTATTTACAGACTGTTTTCTCCCGTAATTTTCCAAATAAGAATGACAAGTTTTTAGCATCTGTAAAAATTGAATTAAGTCAATTGTTTGCTGATTCACTAATCTTTATTTACAACTTTCATTTGGAAGAGAATATTGTATCAAATTACTAAACATACAGTAAAGCTATCTTTTAATTATTTTGCATTTTTGATTGCCTTACAAATGTTACTGGGTCATTCTTTATGGTCTCTTTAGTTAGAGTAATTAGCTCATCATAAACGTCACAATACTTCATAGTGCTTTAGTGCTGTGAACTCTAGCTTCCCAGTGGGTGCCACTCAATTTTTTAAGTTTTAAATCGTTAAATGGCTAGTTAAAATTTTTCATTTCTTTGTTCACTGATGATGACAATATCGAAAACAACATTTACAGTAAAAGTAAAAGGAATTGATTTTACGAATGATTTTTTATCAGGTATTCTTTACTGTACACCAGGGAGATCCTTTTCCATTCGTGGTCACCTCAATATCATACTCTTGTCCTTTACGATCGTTTTATAGAGTCGGCTTCAAGCATAGGTAACAAAAGCAGTGGCGCAGGGCGCCGATTTTCAGAAGACGCCAGCTAAGATGTAATCTCAAGAAGCAACTAATAGAGGTTTACTAATTCAGAAGTCAAACAACAAAAATCAGCGTTATATTTACA